AGCAACATCGTTTTAATAAATTTACAAACTTTTCACTAACATTCATATTTTTGTTAGCATTCAATATTTCACTTCAGTGAAATTCTAAAACCAAACATAACAGCATATAAAAAATTTCTAAAAAGAAAAAAAAAATAGTCAGTGAGCTTATAAAGGTACTAGAAAAGCATTTAACTTCTCGCCTACACAAATTTGACTTTTTCAGTAGTCAACGTACAAGATAGACTGGTGGTCAAGTTACCAATGTTTTGCTCCTTTTTATCATAACGGGTGAATTCGGTCCTTGATAAAAACCCTTGTCAACTTGACAAGCTTCCCTGCATAAAGATTCCGCGATCAGTAATATTTCTCATGGTAGTTTACTTTTGATTTAAGTAAGAAACAATATTTATCCCGCAAGCTAGCAATAATAAGACAACATCCGAAGTAATTCTTGCTTATTTAATTCAGTAAATTAAATAGAATGTAAAATCATTTTAGCCTAAGTCAACATATGAAGGGATAGGAGCAAAGAGGCATTTTCAAATTGCTCAGGAGAATATTTTTAAGAGCGTATCTCTATAAAGACAATCAGATATTTTTGCGCTGTTATCTATTGGAAATCCCAGAAGCGTGTAAAGTGCCGATCTGGAAACGATAACGAAAAATTTTATATAAAAAAGGTCGCTTTCGGAAAAAGTGTGCTTTATCACTATAATTCCCGAAACCTTTCCATATCAATGAATTATACTTATTTTCAGTTCGCCTCATACCTAATTTGGAGATATTCGCATCTTCACGTACTTTAAGAACGAAGCAATTTTTCCGTTATGAAACAAAGATATGATATAAACGTATCAAAAAGATTTCAAATATTCTGATATGAATGTGAAACTAAAAACATTCCAGGAATTACGAATGACAATTATTTATTATGAAAGATAACACTTTTACCTGTCGCAGTTATAAATCCTCTATTGATAAATATTTTTAAGCTTTTTTAATCTATAACGGAAATTAACGGTTCAAAGTATTATCATAGCATTTTTTTTCCTAGATCAGGAGTTGCTGTTATACTAAACTTTTAAGGCTATGTCTTTTAGAAATTCAAAGTGGTGATAGACACCTGTGACTATCACAACTCGGGGACAGAGAGAGAAATGAAAAAAAAAAATTAGCTACTAGTCCTAGGACCAGTAACCATAAGATATTACAAGTCCGTTTACATGTCCTTATTTGATTTCTTTTTTTAAAAAAATAAAGTTTGAAAAGTGAATTTATCTGAAAAATTACAATGCAGAAAATGTGATATGTTCACAATCATAATTAAATATATTATTTCGTGACAAAAACGCAAGCCAAAACAAGTTACCATTTCTTTACATGGTCCCGAGTCAAATTTTAGTGGTCCAGGACCAACGGATGGTTGTCAATTTCAATCTGTACAACTAATAAAACTTAAAAGTATTGGAAAATATTTTACTCCATATCCTTATTTTAAGAGAAAATTAGCAAAAAAATTATAATCATTCGTTTCAGTAGACTACTTAAACACATTTTATTTCGAAAACGGTGTCTTGATACAAAACTTAACTCCGACCTCTGCCTTTGCAATATGATTTAGTGTATCTACTTCTAAGTCCAACGATGAATGCTGAGCATCTCCTCAACTGTTCAGTTCTCACAAAGAACTGTATCTACTCCCGATACTGGGAGGCCAGAGACCTTTTGTTCAATTTAAATTCTTGATTTAATTTTTGTGTTTGATGTTTTGTATAGTTCATCTCTTTCTGTATTTGTATTTCTCTTTTCTTTTGATCTCTGTACGGCGTTAGGATAATGTCTGTATCGCCTGCTGCATTGGAAATTAAAAAAAAAAAAACTTCTAAGTCCAATCGTGTTCAGCTTTTAATTTTAGTACCCATTAGGTGATCATCACTTTCAAATTTATTAAGAGATACAGCTCCCTACACAAGTCAAAGACCATAGCCTTCTTAAAACTAAAGTGATATTAAACAGAAAGAAATATATTCACTTGGAATAAACAAATAAAAATAAAACAATTTTTTTAGATAGGTTTTTCATATAAAGACTATTTTTTGTGGATGACCATTAATGGGCAAAGCCTGTTGTGTTGTATTGATCTTTTAAGGATATGGGAAAGGAAAATTTTGGGGAAGATTTTAGGTGCAATTTGTGAGGATAAAAAAAAAAAAGGGATCAGAATGGATAAGTGTTGCCTGCATTAGAAATGTGATATTAGTATAAATTAAAAAATTTAGATGATCCAGAGAAACGGCATTAACCTAAAACTTCGCAAATTTCGAAGGATAATTTTCTGCATAATGCTATAATAAAGAGTTATAAAATAGTATTTAGGTTTCAAGTCAAAATTGTTCTAAAGTTAAAAAATTTAAGAGTATTTATTTTATTTTATTCGTACATTTATTTACAATGGAAAATTGATAGCTATATACTTATCCAGAACTTTTTATTTCATTTTGAAATTTATTTTTATTTAATAAAAATTTATGACAGTATTTTTATTGATGCGTTAATTTCTCAGGCAATTATGGAAATTGACAAAAATATGATAAACTATTTTTTCATGTATGTATTTTCAACATTATTTCATAAGCAGAAATGATTACAAATTAAATAAAAAAAATGCACTTAATTTTTGAAAAAAGGCAATTAACTCAACAAAGATGTTAAAACTTTTATTAAAATTTTTTTAATAAAAAAAATGCAGGGTTGCGAGAAAGAAACGTTATTGCAAGAGGCAGAGGCTTAAAATTTGCATTAATTTTCAATTTCAGTATGAAACTGGAAGAAAATGGAGCTAAAAAAATACTGTATTACTAGCATACTAAAATATAGAAGAAAAAAAAACATAATAAAAAAGAGAGCGGTTTTTAATTTTTGATTATTAAATTTAAACATCAACTAACCATTTAACTCATAGACAGCAAATTGAAAAAAAGGCCTCATTTTATATATTTTCTAAAATTATGTCAAACAAATTAGTATAGCTTAAGCATAATACTGTCCAATTTTTATTAAATTTAAAACAGGAGATAAAATTTAATGCTTGAAATCTATGAAAATGGTAATGTGTTACAGCATAATCCCAACTTCGAAAAATTGACAAAAGTTAGAAGTCTATTCAGTGTCGGATTGGGAATATGGGGTTCAAAGTGGCATTTAAATGGGGGAAGAAAAAAAAAACTTTTTTTAATTCTTCTAGAATATTAAAAACTTACTGATTTCATTATTCACAACTTTGATGAACAAAGTTCATTAGAAATATTATTCTTTCCTTAACAATTTAAATATTTTACGTTTCATTTTTAAGAACTTACTTTTTCAATTGACTAAGTCAGTGTCAGATTTTAGAACATTGAATGTATTGAAACAAATTATAGAATTACTTTTGTTAGTCTACAACAGCAGCATCTGTAAAACAGATAACAAGAAATTTTTTACTTCAATTCATAAATACAAAATTCAAGAGTCATTATGCCTTGAAATAATTTTATTTAATATTTTAGAGATCTCTCTTGTTTGGAACAATTATTGGGAGGGTCCCCTGGGCTATAAAACTATTTGCACTAGGCTGAAATATCGTTCTAATAGAAAATTATATAGTGACTTGTTTTCAGTCGGATTCATAATAAAAAGTTCTATAAAATAATATAAATGAACAAAGATGAAGTCTTCTACTAATTTTTGTAGTACAATAAGCAACATGGACCCAACCCATTTCCAAAATCATTGCAAATTCTCAGTTTTGGAACTTAGTGTCTTTGGGCATATGCTGTTTGCAATTTTTGCAGCTTCTGATATAGTTATGGCATGAGTCTATTGTGCTGCAAATTACATTTATAACAGATATAATAACAGTATGAAATCAACTAATCCAAACTCAGAAAGTGTGCAAATAAAATCACAATCAGTACGACCAAGCAGTAATTTTGATTCTCTTCTACTTCCATCTAACACAGCAAGAGGTGTAATTCAGACTAGAGGGTATATTTTGTCTATACCATACAATTTTTCATCAGACAACTCTGATTTTTTATTTGTAATGTCAAATATTAGATTTTGTGAGCAAAGAAAAAATGAATGAGGATAGAAGCAGGGAAGTTTCACTAAAATGTAAAAAATGTTTTACAAATAATTGTAAAAAATGTTAGAATTATATAACTTAAATCTCAATTGATTGCTGTAACTCACAATTCTTGTTATTTTCCAGGTGTGATGTAAGTTTTCCAGGTCTTTTGAAAAAATAGCAATTTTTCCTGACAATTCCGAGTTTTCCCTGACCCCTGGGACCCCTGTTTTAAAATATAAGAAATGATAATTATTATTGTATTAATTTAATGTTTTACCAAAACCTTGTTGTCTACCTTGCATTTGCCTGAAAAATCCTAAATCTTAATGTTAAACAATATAATACAAAAATGTAAGAATAACATTTTAAACAAATGAACAAGAAAATAAGAATAAAATTTAAAGCAAACTAGATTTCAATAAATGTGTCATTATAAAAAGAACACTGATGACACTATTTTATTTTCTGTAAAAAAAAAAAACTTTAACATTTGACTTAAAACTAATAGGAGAAATATAATCGTTAAAAATTTACTTACGACAGATTTACATATTGTGAGCAAATTACGGAGAAGCAATATCACTGAGGAGCTACACAAAAAATTGTAATAGAAGGTGTGTCCAAGAAATAACGTACTCAAAATATCTTTCCACTTTCAATAGTTGTAAAGGTTGGTTATCCTATCCAATTCAATGTCTGTGTAATGAATGCTTAGTTTTCAAGGGTTAAACAAAGAATTTTCGAGGATTGAAAAAGAGTGAATTGATTCGTTATTACGTTTTCAGTGTCTCGTTCTCTTATGATCAATATTTCAATTAAAGTATTTTGATTAAAAAACTTATATATAAAAAAAATTTCTATTTTATTTTATACAATCAAATGACTAATGTTCTCAAATAAAAGGATATACACCATAACATTTTTTAATGAATCAAAAAAATCACAGGTATGATAATCATAGCACACAATAGATAAAACAGCTGTACAATTCAGGTTCCTGTTCCTGATGGAAATTGTTGTAATGCAGTTTTCACTCTAGGAAATAAAAAAATTAAAAAACTATAACAAAATGCATTAATAATATAAGGAATGAATAACTGCAAATTCGAGAAATGGAAATGAGATGAAATTAAGGTGAGTTCCATCGATCGATTAATAACATCACATGCCCCAAATTACAGATATTATTAGAGCAAATTCTTACATTTGTTTACTTTTATTTTTATTTTTATAAAACCTGTTTAAGTAAATGCGCAGTGCAGTAAATGCACCAGGGAGATGATTTACCAAATGCAATCAAATCATTTAATGTCATAGAATAAAATTTGCATTTATTTTTAAATTTAGAGAAAAACCTTATAGTTTACTTTGGTTAGACTGTGTTATCATCGACCTTATGCAAATTAGGATGGGTTTAAATAAACCTTATCCTCACAATGATATCATTTCAATTTCTTTGGAAAAAGTGTGTAGCGAGTCACTTAAAAGGTGTAATTCTCCTCTTGGGGAGCATAGGTGTGATATTTAGAATGCATGTTTTTCCAATAAATATCCCTTAGTTAAGTAATTAAAATAAAATTTAAAATAACTTACCGGTCAAATAGAGTTGTGTCACTAGTAACTAGCAATGATTGCAAAATTTGCTGTACTCCCAACTCTCTTAACTTTGACTGGCGTTCAGAAGCACCTAGAAAAAAAAATATGTATTAGAATTATATTAGAAAAAAATATAGTCTGCTGAGAAAAACTTATTCAAGAACTAAAAAAAAAAATTTATTCAAAAATAATAAAATAGTAGCATGAGATTTAAATCGAATAATAATTTTTTAATAATACAATTAAGTAATTATTGCTATTACAAACTTAAAAACATTGAGAAAGACATAGTATTGAAAATCGTAATGTTTTCAACACTTTAGTTCAATTACTAACTGTGTTGGCAGTTTCTAATTAAATACATGTATTTACATTGAAANTTTTTGAAAGATGTTTACCTTACCATCATTTTGGAAATAATCATTAGTGTATTGCTCCATCGTTTTTTCTTCCTTTTAAGATTATTTCCAAAAAAAATTTGTTTTTTAGTTGTGTTTAACAATAAAAAAACGGCTTTTTGTAGCGATTCAGAAAACCGGGAAAATCAGTTATCCGGAATAGCGATGGTCCCGATCGTTCCGGATAATCGGTTCCCTACTGTACAATTAAGTAATTATTGCTATTACAAACTTAAAAACATTGAGAAAGACATAGTATTGAAAATCGTAATGTTTTCAACACTTTAGTTCAATTACTAACTGTGTTGGCAGTTTCTAATTAAATACATGTATTTACATTGAAAACAAGAAAAGAACAAATAAGAATACGATATTAAGTAAGCAATCAAAATAGGTAGTTGCTGATTGGAAATACTTTCTTTTAATCTTGTTAAGTTAGATTCACGTAACTTGATATAAGTACATAGTTCTTAATGTTTTAAGCCAAATCATGATTTAGTAAATATTCCTATATTATTTCTAATTTAAATTATCCTACTTCATTTTTGACCTCTTCTGATATATTTATATCTGATATTGGCATATTGCACAAATCTAGCTTCTTTAGGAATTGAAGATTTGAACAACTTCTATACTTTTTTTTCTTCTTGCATTACATGATATTATTTTATTTTTATATACCTGAAAGAGAAAATTGAAAAATATTTACAATATAATTCAAAACAATTACCTTCCTCTTCTTTCCACACCAAATTAGAAATACAGAAAGTGGCAGCAATTTGCAGTTTGACATTAGAATGAGTCTGAAAAAAATTATGTTAAGAATTATTGCTTTAATTATAATGAAAGGCATATGACAAAGAAAAATATGAGAGTAAGAATTTAGCTAGTTTTTAATCAAAGCTTTGTAGAAAGTCAAACAGTGCTTTCATAGAAAGTAAAATATTTGGCATCAAAATTTTTGCTCTTGATTCATTAATAAGTTTATTACTTAAATAAACCTCGTAACAGATCTTACTTTATAATGAATCAAAAATAAATTATAACCTTTAAATAAAAAAACAACAATTAAAATACCACTTTTAATTAGATGAACACAAAATAACATATTAAATAGTTAATACATGCACAATGTTTTGGAAGGAAAAAAAAAATTTTTTTTTGTTGGTAAAAAACTCAAAGAAACTGGTGGACTCTCAAAGAAATTATACACCTTGGTTGATAAATTTGATTTTTATTGTAGATCTTGAATTATTTTCATTACACTTTTGCTGCTGATCTTGTAATGCAGCAGAATGCTGCTCTCTGTTCAGAGATAACTGATAACGAAAGTAAACAAAGGCAATCAGCAATAGGTTTGGCTGATTTGTATTAAGATTATGACCACTAGAATTTATCTGGCTAGCAATCAACATGAAAAGAATTGGCAACTCAACGAGCAAATGATAAAAGGCGACAATGTTGGCAAAAAACCACGAACTTATAGGTTTACTTCCGTTATTACTTTTTCCTGAACAGAGAATAGTGACAATTACTTTGCTCACATGCAATCTAAACATTCTATCACAAAAGGCCTAAATATTACTTAATAAGAAGTATCATAATTATAATTTACTACCACTTTCCAATCATACTTGAATTTTTTACAAAAAGTTCCGAAGTTGCCTTATTACTTTTTGCTGAACAGAGAATAGTGACAATTACTTTGCTCCCATGTAATCTAAACATTCTATTACAAAAGGCCTAAATATTAATTAATAAGAAGTATCATAATCATAATTTACTACCACTTTCCAATCATACTTGAATTTTTTACAAAAAGTTCCGAAGTTGCCTTATTACTTTTTGCTGAACAGAGAATAGTGACAATTACTTTGCTCACATGTAATTTAAACATTCTATCACAAAAGGCCTAAATATTACTTAATAAGAAGCATCATAATCATAATTTACTACCACTTTCCAATCATACTTGAATTTTTTACAAAAAGTTTCGAAGTTGCCTTGCTGAGTTGAAGATGCCTTATTACTTTTTGCTGAACAGAGAATAGTGACAATTACTTTGCTCACATGTAATCTAAACACTCTATCACAAAAGGCCTAAATATTACTAAATATTACATAATCATAATTTACTACCACTTTCCAATCATACTTGAATTTTTTACAAAATGTTCTGAAGTTGCCTTGAACGAAAAATCACTTACCAAGTAAGATATCAGTTTCTTTAAGACATCATCATTTGACATGATAAAATTTTTGGCAAAATCTCCATCTGCAATATTGGCAAGAATACAAAGTGCTTGCTCCTTTACTTCTGCACTATGCTCACCTTCAAGTATAAGTACAATGGCCTGCATTACTTGTTTACCATGAAGTCCCATGATATGATCAATGTGCTAAAATAAAATATACTATAAATACACAACTACAATTTCTCATAACAAGGATTTTTTTCACATTAACAGTTATGCAAAAATCCATGTACTAATTTTGACTAAGAGTTAACTTTATAAGGTATTTAAACTTCGTATAAGCATAAATTCTTTTGGTATTGCAAAATAATAAACACAAGTTAATTTATTACCATTTTCTTAACCTCATAGAGCACAAGTTTCCACCGTAAAACTGACTAAAAATAAGAGCACGGAAAAACTGATAAAAATGCTTTTTTTTTTTTTTTTTTTTTTTTTTTTTACAGAAAATAAATATATATAGGTGCAGTGTAAGTTATGTTCTGCAATTTCCAGTTGTGGGGGTAACTTGTGACAGGGGTTGGTATATAATAAAAAAATTACTGTACAAAGTTTAAACAATTTGATTACAGGTTTCTTTTAAATTTCAAAATATTAAAATCAAATTAAATCTCTGAAACTCGCTAATAAATTGGCAAATTCACTAGTAAATCAAAAGAATCTCGTGCTCATTTTTATTTTTACGTTTTATTATTATTTAACGAAATTTTACTACCTCCAGGTAAGCCAAACACATATGCATTGAATAATTAAAAATTTATTATTTCAAGAAACTAATCTTTCTTTTTCTTTCTATTGACTAAATTTTATTTCTTCAGGATCATTGTTCAACCATAATTTTACAGATTGAAGCTACATGTTTATCCATTATTTAAATTTTCTTCTACTCTTCAATTTTTTATTTTCCTTCTCATCATCATTGGTGCAACAGAACGGATGGGCTTATGCTGTCGCCACCCATTTCTCTGTGCTGCCAGAATTTCACTTTTTCAAAAATTTAATTCACGTTTTATTTAACTTTACTTTAGAAGTCTGATTTCTAAATTTTTGTTCAAAAATCATGCAAGATAGCATAAAACTTTATAGGAATTATTTTCTCTGATAAAACTGGACTATTAGCTGTTTTGAATAATTAATTAAAAATTAATCAGTATCAATCAGATAATAATTATTGGTCTATACCCTTAAGAAAGCTCTTCCTTGCTATTTTAAATTTGAGATTAAATTTCCTTGATGTTTTTATTGTCCCTAAAAAGCCTTTTGATAATAAAGTAAAATTTGACAACACTGTGTAGTTATAAGAATGAAAGCTTCACTTTATTAAAAGAAAAATTGCATGATAATTTTTAAGAGTCAGATTTTGTCACATAAATCAGGGGTAATTGTGACACAAAATATTTAATGTGCCAAAAACTAGATAAGAAGATATCAATTTAAATACTATTCATATTTAATATCATTTTAAGAACTATGATTTATAATTAAACTAACTACCAATAAAATAAACTTTTATTGTAACTAATTTAAGAAAAAACTTAGTTCTTATAAGAATCCCGATAAAGGATTTTAAAATCATGTGAATATTAATCGCAATATTGGATTTAAGAACACTAAAATACAAATTGCAATATTGGATTTTTGAAAAGTGGAAATATGAATCGCGATGCATGATTTTTAGATCTGGTGAATACAAATAGCGATCTTGGATTTTGAATTCTTGTGAATACGAATCGCAATATGGATTTCAAAAACATTTAAATACCAATTGCAAAGTTGGATTTTAAAACCACATGAATACAAATCGAGATGCGCCTTTTTAAAATTGTATGATTATAAGAGTTTTGATTCACAAAAATCTACAAATTCATGGTCCTAAGATACGTGGAATTCTGAAAAAAAAAAAAAAAACACATGTCTGGCCCTTAGTTTCTAGACCTGCAAGGATGGTATAAAAAACTTGGAATTCTGGGGTACACCTGGGATACAATCACCCCTGAAAATTGTAAAGCAGAAAAACTGCCCTTTTAATAAATAATTCTGAATAATTTTTCTTCTGAATAGCTTTTAATAAATAATTTTGTAAATTTCATAAATCTGAAAACAGGCAAATGTGCAGTTATTACTTCAAAGTAATAACTGTACATTTGCCTGTTTTCAGATTTATAAAATTTACTTTAATTTTTTCTTGTTTAGAATGATCAAAGTTGATGCTGAAAAATTCTCGTAAAACAAATTAAGCAAAAACAAAGACATTAAAACTGACAAATAATGTATTACTAAACTACCTATCTGTAGTATTTCTTTTAGAACAACATCAGCTAGATTTTTTTCACGTTCATTAGATGAAAAGCACATATTTTATAGGTTTTAAGCAAAGTAAATAATTAATATCCAGCATCAGATTATTAGTAAAAATAAAAATGACAAAAATCATATTTAGAGTTTTTCCCTGATAAATAAACCAATTTAATACAAGTAACATGCATATTTAAAACAATATTATACCTTTGTAAAATGTTTAAAATAGGAGAATCATACATACACTACTTACAGGCTTGGTGGAGAGTAGATTCCTCAATAAACCTAGCGTCTTCATCAAAACGTCCACATCTGAGTCAGATAACAAGTTGAAGACATGGTCACTTCCAAGAGCCGTCAGAATCTGAGCTTTGATTTTGTGGTCCGCTTGAAAAGCCATATTCATGAGAGCCCACACTCCATTGAGCCTTAAGAGAGGATCGTCTCTACGGGTGAGGCCGCACAGAAGTTCCACTGCACCACATTCCAGGATTGGCTGAGTAGAAAACCACTGGAATGATTATCGAGATCCTTACATCTCTGTTGCCTCCACTTATGATATTGTAATACACAAAATGAATACATTAAGTGAACTTATGTTTGTGGAGGACAACAAAATTTGGTTGTTAAAGTGTTTTATTTCTTTGTGTGCAATTTATGTACAACAAAATTTGGTTGATAAAGTGTCTTCTCATGTGCAGTTTATGATCGTGGAAGAAACAAAATGTTTTTGATTAAGTTTATTCTGTTTAGTTAATGTAATTCAATTAATGAACAGTAGGACCCAAATATAATGATCTTGCATTTCAAGATAGTTTGAATTTAACACATAAAATGGCATTTTTTGTTTGGTACTAAGCAATTAATGCATTAAAAGATTACTATTGTAGCGAATATTTCCACCCTGTTAAACCCAAGAATATGTATTCTTGGATTTAACAAGGAAAATAATTTTAGAAGCAAAATATAATCAGGGGCGATTGTGAAAGAAAGTTAAAAACCCTGAAAATTTTATGTGCACAAAATCGATATCAAAATATAAATTTATATACCACAGATGTTTCGCGATTTTAAATATCGCGATGTCGGATATTTAAAATCGTGACAAACGAATTTTAAACCATGTGAATACAAATCGCAACGTGCAACTTAAATGAGGTAAACGAAAATTGATGCTAAATATGCAAACCACATGAATAGTAATCGTGATATTAGCGAATTCCGGTGCTGTTTCAAATACTCAAAATGGTAAAAATCTGCCAAACTAAAAGAACCATGTGTACATAAGCGTCTCGTTAGCGGGAACCAATGGTCTTGAGAAACGCGATACTCCCATAAAAATCATATGTCTTGCTCCTAATTTTTAGACCCGGAAGGATAATGCAAAAAAAAAAAAAAAACGGAATTCTGGGATACCCCCGGAATATAATCACCCCTGTATAATATCAGAAATAGTGAAAAACCATTTAAAAAAATAACACATAGTACAAAATCCTTTAAAATTCTATCTAACGACCTTTAGATTTAGAAGACCACATAAATATTGCAAAATAATTTTTCATATCATTCATTCACCATTCTTTTCATTCCAATGAGGATATGGTCCCATAAAGGTAGAAGGCAAAGCAAATGAATATTGAAACTAAGAAAAAGAAATTATAATATCATTATAAACTAGTGATGTTAAATTCAAACTTTTCATTTCAGTGAGGATATGGAGCTATAAATGTTAAAAGAAAAAGCATATTATCAATATAAACTAGTGCTGTTATGTTCATACTCTTTATTCGAGTGAGGATATGGTCCCAGAAATGTTAAAAGCAGATGAAAAAGTAATTGAATATTGTAACTCGAAAAAAGAAATTATATTATTTAACAAACTAGTGCTGTTTTGTCACTATAAAATCCTGCACAATGAAAATGAAACAAAAATTTCTTTCATTTAATTTTCAGCAAAACATTCAAAGTTAAATAGATAAATAAGTTTTCACTTCTTAACAAAATTTATTTAGACACATTTTTTTTTTTTTTTTAACATAGAAAGTTTCTGTACTAATCTTGAATTTGTATTTAGTGAGTGGCTAGATTTAAAAAAACACTTTTTAAGTTTCACAAGTTTTCATTAAATATAGGTCCTACTGTATAATAGAATTTAAAAAAAATAAATTAATAAAACACAAGAGAAATTCGTGCTACTTCCATGTATGCAATATTCTAATTAAATATTTATACAGAATAGATAAAATTAAAAACACATTATTAGTTTTTAACTTAATTAATGAACTATTTTTTTCCCTTCCTATTTCCAATGCTTCATAAATTGGATTAGAAATATAAATAAAAATAATAAACTTCTTTCCCAATTGCTACAATGTAAGAAATAAATTTTAAAATCAAATCTGAAACTCTAATAAAAGACACTAGGGTGCTGTTAAAAGACAATAACTTTTAAATGGCTGTAGAAGTGTTACACATGATTTCTAAATAAAACATTCAAGTAAAAATATGATTAAATCTAAAAATTTTCACTTCATTTACCAAATCACTACTTAACCATAAATAATTTAATTATTTAACAGCGACAACTTTAAATTTATAAAAAAAAAGGACATTCACACTTTTCCTTATTAATAAAGAAGAGATGTTCATTATTTTCATTTTAGTGGGAAGATGATAATATAAACAAGTGTTAAAAGATTTATATTTTCTTTTCATTAACTTATATTTGAATTTAATAAATGAGTGCCGATTGTGGACAAAAAACTCTTAGTTGGGTTGCATTAACTGTATAGCAAGTTTAAAAATATTTTTAAAAAATATATTGTAGAAATATATATATATTTTATGTGTCATGAAAATGCTAACAGAGATGAAAAATAAGTTGCTTAATGAAGTAAATATTTTCGCAACAAATAAAAGCTACATATTTTCCTCTATAATTAACCCTTTGCTTACAATATATAGCATAGTGAAGTCTATCATTATGGTTCACTTATTGTACCAGCCTGAAAACAAAAGGTTAAAAAGTAAACCATTTTAATTAATTAAAAATAAGATGTCAATTGCCCCCCCCCCCAAAAAAAAACAGACCATTATGAATATGTATTAATTTTTTTGCTTTAAAAACTCCTTTGTTGCTTGTGCATGTTTAAAATAAAAACATAACATTAGAAAAAAACTTTACATTAGAATTTGAATACAGTTCAAATTAGAATGACGAAATTAATTGAAAATTATTTTGAATGCTATAATTGCATCATTACTTACATTTTGGCATTTTATTTTATTTATCAGAATATTTAAGTAAAACAAAGATTTGAAAAAAAAGGTAAAATGAAACAAAATATCAGTACTGTTTTTAGAGGCTTTGAAAAAGGTTTTTTTAACATTATATTGATAATTTGCAGAAAAAAATATACAAAAGAAAAACATTCACTAAAATTTAAAAATATAAATATATCAATAAATTTAACAAAATAGTTTTTCTTGCTTATAATTTGATCAGATAACTTTTTTAATTCTAACATTCTAACATTTTTTAATTCTTAATTTTGCAATAAATGTAATTATATATTTGGCAATTGAAATATTTAGATACTACACAAACCATATCTTTCATTGCATCCCATTTAGAAATATACATTAGCTGAGATAGTTTTAACTGTAATAACATCTATAAATTTATTCAAATAAAATTAACAAAAAAAATGTACTTACCTCTTTGCTTGGGGAAAATTCTAGCAGTAGATTGCAGAGTGTGCTGGAGGCAACTGTTAAAATGTCATCATTGCCTGTTTGAAACAGTTTCATTAATGGCCTCCATACAGCGTGATCTTGGAAAGTAGTTCTTAATTGTTGCACAGATCTGGATAAACTATGTAAACATCTAACCGCAGCTAATCGAACACGTTGATTTGGGTCTGTGAAGGCGCTCACAACATTTTCCATGAGATTCTCAGTATCAATAATCTGAAAAACAGTTTTGCAATATGAATAAAGATGAAATTCTGCTATACTCAAAAATAAGCAGATTCTAGTAATTTACAATTAAGACTAAAAATTTATAAAAACAGTTAACAAAAGCACTGATTGTTAATCAATTCAGCATTCAGATTTATTCAGGGTTAACACTCAATTTCAGTAAAAAGAATTTCCCTGACTTTTTGCCAGGTAAATTTCAATGAAAATTGAGACCATCAGAAAACTTTGATTCCTTTATTCGTAATGTGAAATATTATACTTTCGGTGCAAAAAATATTATTAAATGAGGAAAGGAATATTTCAGTTTAACTAAAATTTGAAATATTTACAACAACTCATTGTAATAGATATTAGAATTATTTAACTCAAATCTTATTAATTGATTACTGTTACTGACAATTTTAAGACTGGTTATTTTCCAGGTATTATATAGGAATATTCCAGGTTTTTATAAAAAAAAATTGCAACTTTCCCTGACCATTCCTTGATTTTTGGAGTTAAAATAAAATTCCACAATTCAAGGCTTTCCCTGTTCTCCCTGACCCCTGGGAACCCTGTTATTGTATTCTCCATGACCTGTGGGAACCCTGTTATTGTATTCTCCCTGACCCATGGGAACCCTGTTATTGTATTCTCCCTGATCTGTGGGAATCCTGCTATTGTATTCTCCCTGACCCGTGGGAACCCTGTTATTGTAAAAGTTTAAATCATATAGCTTTATTAAGGAAATCTGATTTGTTAAAATGGGATGTAAACCTGTAACCATTTATTAATAAGCTGCTTTTTTACTAATTCATAAAACAATGTGAAAGATTACAAGAGGTTAGATAAATCAGTTTAAAAAGCAGAATAATTTAAACCTTTTTTAGAATACAATAAGTAAAATTTTTTTATCATTAATATTTTTTCCTGTATTTCATAAAATTTGAAAAATAAAATAATCTTAGATGTTAATGACATTGGTTAAATTAATAAATGTGGAGTTCATGTAAGTGTACCAATTGTCCCCTGATTTGCACTTAATTAACATATTATCTACAGAGGGACATGAAGTGGTGAGTTCATGTACAATTTTTATTCCTCCGATTCGCAATCTATCTACATAATATCTCAGCCTCAAAGAATAGTTATGGTAGGCTTGGATTTAAACAATGTTGCCGAATAATTTTTTTTTTTAAAATTATTTATATTTCAATATTTTTGAAGTTCATGGTAATTGTTTCTTAAACACTGTATGGTCCACAATTTATTTTTAATGTTTAGTGACTATTCCAGAATATGATTGGGAATTTTTTAATTTGTAAATTAGTTACTAAATTGGTTAATAAAATTGGTAATAAAATATAGCCAAACTTTGGTGATTTGAAGTCAAGGAGACAAAAGGAAAGTTCAAAATATGCTTAAGTTTAAATTGCATTAATTCTCTCAAATAAGAAAGATAAAATAAAGTAAATAAATAACACAAAGGTTAAAGATTTAATGCATAAACTGTTCAAGAATACTGTTACTTTTTATTTTGCAAGAAATCAAATATTGTTACCACTTGAGAACATAATTGTCCCCAACTAGGTTGTCAGGTCCCCCCCCCTTTTTTTTTCCTTGTACTATTTCTTTGCTCAAAATGTTATCTAAGCTCTTCAAATATGCTTATGATGAAGGCAATTATCAAAAATTAATTGATTTTCAATACCAATTTAAGATTTTTTTACACTTCCTTAATCAGCAATACCTTTTCAGCTAATGATATTGGTTTATTAAGAGCTTTATCTTATTACAATGTTATAATTAAAAGATAGAAATTATACTTAATGTACAACCAAGGAAAAATTACAATAATATTGAATTGTTCACTATTTAAAAACTTTTCAACAAGCAGTGAAACAGATTCTCCAGCAGAAGAGATGCAACTAAGTTTTTTTAAAAAAAATTTTCCCAACAGTGACAGTCTTTGGGTAACTAATTAATAGTGAATGTAGAAGTAAGGGAATGTTGCTTTTGTTTTTCTTAGACAATATCTCAGGAATAAATTTTACTATCATCTTTAAAAGACAATAATCATATGAAAAGTTTATATTATTCAAAATAAAATTCAGTTATCCACGATTTTTAAACTGAATTCTAAGGATTGAGGAATTGAAAATTTGAATTTCTGATTAAACAAGTCTTTCTTTAAAAAAAAAAAAACTCTATGAATTTGTTACATTAAAGTGCACTTAAAAATATATGAAAGAGGGCAGCATAAAATTGAAGTTGAATATAAAAAAAAGGGGCATGATAAAAAATTTATTATTAAACAAATGCTAGGCATGACTATTAGTCATTAGGCTTTCATAAAAAAATAAATATATAAATAAAGTACAAGTGCCATAATTTAGGACTTTCACCACAAAGTTCCTCAATAATTTTGTGACCTTATTATTAGTGAAGAGATTATAACTTACTGACACAAATAAAACAAACCAGCATTATCATAAAATTTGCTGAGAGCTATCGCTAATTCAGATAGAAATGTAAATAACAGAACAAAGGAAATAAACTTTGATGATAAATAAAGTCTTTGAAGCAGCAAAGATTTAAGCATTCAATACCTTTCTTCTAATGTCTTCATCGTTGGCTGCTAATGATGCAAATGCTTTGAATGCGGCTTGCTTCATTTCCTGGGCCATTTTAACTTCTTGAACAACCTGAAATTATGAATATTATATTCATATTTAGCTTAGACTATGGGAAATAATTATTGATATGTGCTTGCAACATAAAAGTATTTCAACAATGTGAGAAACATATAAAAGAAAAAAAAAAAGGACTGGTTACAAAAAAAATTTAGCAACTTATTTTATCAAATTAATTTTATATACATACATAAACAGCTAAATTATAAAGTTTTTGTATTAAGTTTTCAAGCACTATAAGTTTTTTTTAAAAAAACTTTTATTATGTGTTGATTAACCTTTTTGAAGGTTGTGGTATACTTGCCATATTACATATAGCTTCATCACTTTCTAAATGTCAATGTGAAACTATGACCCCGCCTATAATTTGTGCAGCTATCTGCTGACAACTTCAGAAAATAGAGAAAAGAAATGAAGGACTTTATTTACATAAGTTAGTATTAACTTCATAAAATAAGTTTCAGCTTATTTAAAACTATTTTTGGTCACATATCAAAGCAACTTTTAAAAAATATTATTACAGTTAAAATTTCTCATGTGTATAAATAAGGCATATTTTTATTAAGCAATTAATAAAATAAACGGCTACCCTAGTTATTGTATCAGTTTTGGTTTCGTCATTAGCTGTATTATCTTCCCCATTCTCCGCATTTTGATTGGGCAACCGATACTTCAACAGTTCTGATAGTGTTGGTATCAGGTGGTCACTAATACTTGCGATTCTCTGTAACTCAGTGTCGACTTCAGTGAGATAAGCTAATGTTTCAGCCCCATCGACTCTTTCTTCGGGAGAAACATCTTTTTGACACATTCTTACTAAAGTTGGAAGGGCCTGGAACAGAAATAAATACAATATTACTAGCTAAATTAAACATATAAATTTACCATATTTTGAACAATACAGTTAACTCTTAATTATTCACAGAAATCAGTAATGGAATAATCAGTAATTCAGGAATGGAATCTGCCCTTTCTGGTATGTAACGTTTGTTTCTCTTATTTGAGAGACAAAATTCTATAAATTAAGGACTATCTGATGCATAGAGCTCTAAAATGTTGTTCTACAACAATTACAAGAATGAATTAGCAATACATAATTAGGGTGACAGAGGATTCCTTAAAAACCTGGCAAAGATTGAGGACAGTAACATCATAAAAACATGCAAGCCACAAGCAAGTTTCACATCTAGTAGAATCCAATTTTTTCGCATCTAATTTGCTAAGTCCACATGTGCAATCTTTCAGATTATTGTAGTAAGTGATAATGCTTTGCTTCTACTCTGTGCTTTCATCTGCAAACATATTCGCATGAATATTATTCAGAATTATGGCATTGTTTTTCTTTTGCATCCATATAGCAAGTGTTTTGTTTCCATTTTTAAGAACAAGGAAGTGACTCTCTTGTTCAGGTGTACTATCTCAATAGCATAGTTATTTTCACACACACACACACAAAAAATTCATCTACAAGTTTAACAGAAATAATAAAAATGTCTGAAGTCCTGCTGTGGATTGAGTTTAGAAGTGGTTCCTTAAATTAAAGTGCTATATTTTCCTCAAGCGGATATCCAGTTTCATTCACAGCATTTTTTTGGAGGGAGGGGGGTTATATTAGTTGAAAACTAGCTCTCTAAGTCAGAGTAATGTGGCTTGCTCGTTAAGCGATAAATTTGTATTTTGAATTACATACATGGCAATAACTATTCACCAGCAATTATTTCTGATCCATGATTGTAACAAAAATAATTATTTATAATTAACATGACACAATTCAGGCGCAATAACAAATTTGTAATTTAATAAGAGCACAACTAGGCTTCTTCAGACATTGAATGATACTATATAATTTAATGGAAACTATAGTGTGATATTTGTTTAAGCAATGATGACCAAATTTCTGTTTTATAAATCATATTCACAATTTTAGTAGTTCTACAAAATCAAAATCAAGTAGAAAATTAAAAGTGAAAATTGTTTTTCAATCAATTTGAGACATGTTTTAAGTATGAATAAAAAACATGATTTTTAAGCATAATTAATTAAATTTGAAATATAAAGAAACAGTACATACTTTGTACACAATTCTAAAATCATCTGCAGGTATAGCTCCTGCTCTGCACATATATGTCATACTAGATAAAAAATTAAAAGAATTGAGTACCAAATTATTTTCTTAAATAAAGCATCAGTGTAATGAGAATTAAAATATGCACTTATAGCTAGAGTTATTTACTTTGGATTAGATGTTTAGAAATGTGATAATTATTGCATATAATATAAAAATTTTAGACAATCAATAAAAATAAAATCTTAACTAAAGCTCATTTTAAAGAAATATAATTAAATAAAAAAATATTAAAGAATATAAATTTTAAAAAAATCTAAAATAATTGTTTAATTTTATTATACTTTATAAGACACCATTGTAGGTAAAAAAGAAAATACTTAAAATAATGGGAGTTCACAAGCCTTAAGTAGCAAATACTAAATTTTTACTTATCTTCAGGGTAGGGGGGAGATAAATGAATAAAATAGATAAATGAATACTAAATATTTTGCAACTAATTTTAAAATTAAAGCTTTCATATGTTCAACTATTTTAAAAAAACCTGTGTAAAGAATTATTTCTGCTATATTTTTCGATCATAAGAAATATGTATTTCTTGTTCCTTAATAGCAAACACTTTTAAGAGAATTTATCAATAAATTTCTTAACAATTTCAAAGAACAAAAATTTTCATTTACCATTTTGCAGCAGCTAGCTGCATTTCTGTTGTTTTATCCCTACTCATTAATCCTATTAAGATATCTGGTACAGATTTACCATTGTGACTTGCTGAAAAAAGAAGTATGATTTATTTTAAATTACATTATAATTTTACTGATAACACATATTACCTACACATATAACATACTAATCTATATATATGTGCCATTAATTTAGTCCATCAAAAGTAAAAGTATACCATGAATAAAAAATTTTTTACAAGCAATACTCTTCATAAAAAAAATTAGATGTAGTTCAAAAATTGTTCTGCAAGCAACTTAAGGTTATTATGGACATTTCTCAAGGATGATATAAATCTACAGTTTTAAGAAATACAACTTAGCTTTTGTAGAAACATAAATTAAGGCATAAATATAACATAAAGAAACCTATACAAAAATTTTTACTTCTAAGGCATTCAAAAATATTCCAAATACTATATTTTCCCTCCAATCACAACAAATATTATTTAAGAAGGCAAAACTCCCCAGTATACGGCTATATAACTTTACTAAACAGTTTAGTTTGCTGTTTTTTTCCCTAGTAAATGGTCTAAATCAAAAGAATTTTTAAGAATATTAGATATTTTTAACATATAATTAAGCATAAGGCTGCCAACATTTCAAAACTTAAACTAGAGCAAGTTTTATGGTAATGGTAAACTAAAGTTACACGATAATTTTCTTAAATGTGAAAAATGTATTTTTTAAAGTATGTTTTAAATATTTAATTAAATGAGCAAAACATCTTTGGTAAATTGTTCATTCTTATACGAAGTCTTTTGTCAATAATATTAATAAAATATCCATTCTTTAACCCTTTCGCAATGAGTTTTTTTTTTTTTTTACAACAGAACAATTTTGGTAGCATAAACTATGAGTAGGGCACACTAAAACTAAGATGCTATATTTTTAGGAAGATTTTAAACACTGATTTAGAACCAGGACATATATGTCCCATCAGTCCTGACAACTGGAACATATGTGTCCCAGTAGTTACAGTATTCTTAATTACATATTATTGCAGGTCAAAATTTTTGTCAGGGGCGATGCTACCTATTGGGGCAGCGCCCAAGTATAATGAACGCTCAAAATACTTTCTAGTTAAAAAGATATTCCATTACACATAAGTATCAGATTTCATGGGAGTGGAGGGCCAGTGAGAGTCTAGCTACATTATTGATTTCTGTACATTAATGTAAATAATATTTTAGTATATTAATATAAGTAAACCTTTAAATATAAGTGCAATAAATTAAATTACATTAAATAAAAGCATCCTGTATAAATGCACTCATTTTTTTGTAGGTAATTGATTATAAACAAATTTACATGTAACTATATAAACTTACATGTGGCAGCTAATTCAGACACTTTCTCATTTTGATAACTCATATGAGCTAGGCAACCTAGAGAAGGTATTTGTACCTAAAAATATACAAATATATATAAAATATAATGTATTATACATAAATAAAGCTAGATGACAATAAGGGCACAGAAAATTGTAAGAGTCTAATGTTTCTGCAGAATGTAGTTTTTATTTTTTCCCTTAAAATATTCCCCAAAATTATCGTGCCTTTTTTCAGTTACAATAACTTTATCAAAATATTTTAAGAAAGTACAGTTTGCATGGTGTTAAAATTTTTCAATTTAATTTCTTCTTTATCAAAGAAATTCTTGAATAAACTGGCTTATATGCTAAAAATAACAGAAATCAAAAATATATTGAAATAGTTATAATTCATAAAAGTCCCACTCCTAAAATTAAGGAATTCAAACTAATAAATAAACAAATTGATTTGTGCAAGACTTATAAATAAGACAACTGATTAATAAAGAAATTTATTTGTGTTAAGATTTAAAATAACAGATTTAACATGACAGGCAATCACTTTATTCTTTCCCTCCAGGAGAAAATATTTCCAAAGAAGAAAGCAGCACTTTTATCCCCCAATTCATTTTTCTTTCTTGTGATATTTTTTTTCTTCCCTGCAGAAATAATTTCTCATTCCAATATTTAAAAAAATAATTATAGTAATTAATAAATATTAAACTAAAAATTTTCCAAAGCCAGCCTAAATTTCCCTGAACCACGCTTGCTTGATCAGGCATATTCTGCCCATGGGATGACAAATAAAAAAAAGCATACAACATTTATAAAAATATAAAGTACACTTACTCTATAAACAGAATTACATAATAACGGAGGCAAGAGATCCAGTACTCCATTGGCACATAATAGATCTTGATGTTCAGGAGTCTACAAAATAAATATTAATAAATTTAAATAAAAATATTACCTATAACAATGAAGTAATAATAGGGCGAATAGTACATGACAAGAATCACTGCATTGGAATTCATATCCAACAATGCTAAATAAAATAGCAATAACAGAAAACATCCAACTTCTTAATTACAAATTATCATTATCAATGCATCTAACAACTTTTTAAGGATCCCTTCTCTAATTCAAAATAAATACAATATTCAAATTTAAAAATAAAGTACAGTTGAGAAGATTGCATTTTTACAAAAGATTGCATTTTTTGTTAACTACATAACTATCTTAGTTTCCTTCTTGACAATTAACTATTAGAATCAACATTCACTGCTATCAATGAGGTCAAAAGGTATTTCACTGCATATAATTTTCTTCTTGTAAAAACTAGTTACGATTTGGAAACTTGTTGTTCAAACATTCACGCATAGCTGCCAACGTGGATAGGAAAAAATCCAGTAGATTTTACGAAATAATATAAATTTCATGATAATTTTTGCATTATGTACTAAACATTTTACACATAGTGAACTTTAGGGTTTTTTATAGTCATCAAAACAGAAGAAAGGCAATATTTTCCAGTTATGATTGACATTAAACATACTTAAAATGTTATGTATTATGTTTACTCATAATTATGGTTATTAATAGGCATTTAATTAATCAAAGATAGATTTTAAAAAATTTTCATTAATTTAAAAAGAGAGATCTGAATAAAAATAAACTGAATATTTCAGAACAAAAAAAGTTTTTAACTGATTTCTATAAATGAGGTTTGGTTCATTAGTAACACATATTTAAATATTCAAGCAATAATCTGTATAAAAACTCTATTTAAAGAATTTTCTAAAATGTACAAAAACCAGGAGAATTTTAATTAAACCAGTAGACCAGGAGAAATTGGCTAAAACCAGCAGTCTACTGGAAAGTTTAGAAGAGTTAGCAGCTATGTTCCTGTCAGAGACATTTCTGTCTTTCATAAAATACAGAACTATTAATTCAGTCCACTATCTGTAGGCAAAAAGCAATCTACTCCAGTTATGTATTTTAAATCTTAATAGTTGTTCAAAATAAACAAAAAAGAGGTAAATATGCATATTAAATTGCGTTTTTATTGTTATTTCAACATTAAATATGCATATTTGCTTATAATGTCAAGCTCGCTATAATGACAATTTCCTCTGCTATAGTAAATTGTCATTACAACAGGATTTTACAGTTAAAAAGGAAGAAAAACAAATTACATACCTGGCACCCAGAACTCAGCATAGTCATGACACATTCCTGTACAGTAGTTGATTGTTGTTTACACATTGATACTAGATGAGGGATAAGAGTTGGATCTTCATATAACATATCAATAGTAGCATCATTACGTGAAAGCACAGTACGCAAACACCTCAAACATGCTTCAGTTAACTTCATGTTTGAACTTGTTGCCAAACCTAAGAAATATAGGTAAAGATATAGTGGTGAAATTTTTTTTAAATAACACACACAGTCCTTTTCACAAAAATTTTATGTTCTGAGAAATTTGAAAAATTAGACAAAGCAAAGTAATACATTCTTAAATAAAATTAGGATTATTAATTGACACTTGAAGATTTAACAAAATGCAAAAAGACATTTTTGATTCTTCGCAAAAGCATTAGCATTTTACCAAATTCTATTTAAAAAGAAAAGAAATCTTTCATGTAAAAATGTGATTATAGTTCCATGACACTCCATTTTTAAACTTTGTTTAACAAGCAAATAATGAAATAAGTAAAAAAATATGAAACCTTTATTTTTACACTTTAAAAAAACTCTTGTTATTAAATGAAAGTTTAAAACTTATTTACAAATGAAAATGGTAAGTGAGCTAAAATTCATATTCCTTGCGGAATTTTTACAGGTTTTTTTTTTCCTTCTAAAGAGCTTTTGAACTCAGTTTAAAACATGTTTGAGATCCCTTAAAATAAATATTTACACAATCTGATCTTTAAAATTAACCTTTAAAAGCATGTTTTTTAAAACTGTTATAAGATTTTGATACATAAAATTCGTTTAAACAGTAACCTGTTAAAAAAATCACTGTCAAGTTAAAACCATTTTTAAAATATAAACAAACTTAAAATAATAATAATGAAACAAACAATAAAAAAATTACTTTTGAATACGCAAATTTTACCACTCATTTTTGGCAAATAATAACAATTTGTTATTACCTCTCAAGACAGCTCCAATAAGCCCAGACCCTAAAAGATCTTCTACATGTTTATCTGTTCCTTTAGCTAAACTTCCAAGCGTAACTGCTGTTTCTATCATTAGATCCTCACTGCTAACTTCATCAGTTAAAAATTGATAAAGTCTAAAAAAAAAAATTAAAAAAAAATGTAAATTTCACAGACTAATTGAAAGCAATATAAAACATCTAGGCAAAAATTTATCATGAAACCTAAAGTAATTCTTTCATTAGATACAGTCAATAAATAATGAGGCTATTTCCCACAATTAATTTGATGAAACTCAGTATTGTCTAAAAAAGCTAGCTATTTATCCCATTTTGACACTAGTCACACAATGCAATGAGCAGTCGCAACTTTACTACTAAGTTTCAATATCCTCATACCATTTAAAATTTTTTTCTTCTTAAGTTCACTGAGGATATAGAAGCAGGGTTTGAAATTAACAATCATTTGTCATATTTTGCACTACAAAATTTCAGTTTCACAACCACAATTTTATACTTGGTCATAACTTTTGACACCCAACTTGAGTCAATAAATATCAATTTTATGATCATATAATTTCTTCAAAATTCCAAGAAATGACACCAATCATCCTCTCAGTAAATGCATAAAAAAAATCGAAGCAGTCATAATCTTTCTATATTCCATAAACAGGGTTGCCACAGAAAAAAATGAACAAAATAGTTGCTTATAGTAGCCTAAAGTTTGAAAATAGTTGCCTAAAATTATGAAAATAGTTGCCTAAATAAGAACAAAAATTTTAGTCATATTATTGAAAATTTTTTGTTCTTATTAGGCAAACCTTTATAAAAAATGAAGCAAAACTTTATAAAAAATTGCCAATATGGCGACATATTTCCAAAGATGAAAACTATCAAAATCAATGCTTTATCTTCATTTTTTGCAAATTTTTATGAGCCCAGATAATGAAGTGTCACAGTTATGTGTGACGATTTTTTTAAATTGTTTAATCCCTCTTAGTTTAATGTTGGTTGTCTTTTTTTTTTTCTAATTTAATCTTTATTTTACCCCAACTCTTTAATGAGAATAGGAATACTTTCTTCTCCTTTCAGTAACACATTTTTGTGTCATCCTTTTCACCTTTTGGTGACTCAAGGTTGAATTGACCCCGCTGTCCTTCTCAAGGCCGATTTCTCCCCTCGCATTTTACGACTTTACGTCACATTCTCCCATGGCATTTATTAACCTTCAGTTCGCACGTGGAGTGCTAAACCGCTTCGAACCAGATCCGGAAAATTCCCAGTATTGATGTAATCACTCCCTCCAAGTGTAACATCTTCCATTTAATACCTTTTTTGGTATCGTGTGTGTTTTAATCGCCCTGATTGGTTTTGCTGTACCCGTCCTGTGATGCCCTCGTCCAATCACAGCCGTCCTCTCTTCCTCCTACACAACTTGAATTTCCCGCGCTGAGGAGACGCCATTCTTTTCCTCTCTTGGTGCTCTGCTCGAAAGACAGTTGAATATGTGACTGTTTAGATTGTTTCTCAATTTTTTTCTTCGTCATCTTGATTTGAGCACTTTAGTGCAGCATGTCGTACCTTCATCTTTAGTAAATCCTAAGATTCCACAAACGCGAGGACGAACAGTTGTTGAGATGAGCAAAACGTTCTTTTTTTAAAAAATCTTTTTGAGAATAATTGCATGTTGCCGTGTTGACCGGTGACAGCGAAGGACTGGTAATTTTTTGTCTTATGTAATGTTATTGTCCGACATCTTGTCTATGTTGAGAGGAGTAGAAGAACAAATCTCCGCTGCTGACTACCTGCCTTAACGTAAACCGTTGTCCTCCGCTTTAATTGTTCTTATCAAAAATGGAATCTCCTGAATTGGAACCTCTCCTGTTTTGTTGGTGAACTTTATACTGCAATTTTTTTTGCTATCAAATTCGAAATCATCATGACACAAGCCGAGATCCTTCGTGTTGGGCTTTTGGATCAGTTGTGACGGCAAGGCTATAACCACCCCTGTCCAGTTGAACTCAAACTCTTTCCCCCCCTCTCCTTTTCTTTTCTACAACATGCCTCATCGGGAATGACTGTGAGGGGTGAGTAACGCATTTATTTATTTATTTTATTTGACCGGGTTTAGTCAGTGCTCTTCTTGTATGCTATGTCTATTATGGTTATGTCAATTTTTATTGATCCAAAGAGTATGGTTGTGTATTAGTTGTTCCTTTCACCTATCTATGTTAAATTCCCTTATAAAAAAAGAGATATTGAGCATGAACCTTCAGATTGGGTTACTTGTCGGTCATCACTAATGCTTTTATTTCGAAACCACTATCTATCCTTCGGGAAGCAATAATATTTTTCTTTTGATTACCCTGACTCAATTTGATATAGTCGAAATTTAACTCTGTTTCAATTATTGTTTTTGACTGAACACCCCTGTCTCATACATATTTATCTAAACACATATCAGGGCGTGTAGCCAAATTTTTCAACAAAAAATAAGCACTTTGAAAAATATCATAATTAGACCGGGTTAGCAAGTTTTTGACAATTGATGGTTTTATCCCGTTTTATTTACAGCCAAAGACGATGGCGCGTCACAAACGATAAAATAAACAAGAGAAATGAAATTTTCTATCACTAATGGAGAAAAAAAAATTTACAATGTTTAGTTGGTCCCTGTAATCAGCAAAAATTCTAGAGATTTTTGGATTCTATTACAGAGGGGGACGAATGAAATTTTTCGATTCTATTACAGAGGGCGGAAAGTGAAGTCTGAAATTGAGAATCTCTTGCCAAATGCAGCAGTGTTGCACATGAGAGTCAAGAATCCTTACCACTGAATTCGGCTCAGTATACGCAAGTGCGAACCAGCAAGCATTTCATCAAACATGTAAAACAAATGGTGCTTTCATACACTACAGACCGGCAGTTCGCAGAAATTGGGGCAGTTGGGGTAGAATTAATTGTGAGGACTATGTCTTTTTGCATAATTTGTGGCAAAAATCAACATTGTAAAAAAAATATCACATTTTGGAAAAGAGAAAATTAAGCACTTTTTAAAAACATCCACGGAAAAAAGCACCTTTAATGGCTTTTAAAAAACAAAAACTGAAAATAAGCACCTTTAAGCACTTTTTAAAAACGCTACGCACCCTGTATAAATATATAATATTCTTTTGTTTGGATCAATGAAATTGATGCATGGTACACTCTTTAAATTTTGTGGTAAAAATCCTTTGTTGGTACTTCAGTAAAAGAAGACCACTCTATGGTGATTTAGTGTAGTTATTATCTTTGCTACACACAAAATTAGAATAATTGTGATTCAGACCAATCTCTTCAGGACACACCATAAATTTTCATTTGTACACCATAAAACGAATACCAAAAATAATAATCATTCCGGTACATGTAGCATTGAAGTAAGTTTTTAAATACTAAAAAACTAGTTTACGTTTTGCGTCATTTTCAGAATAAGCATTGAGAGTGCTAAATTGGTTAAAATTGACTAAAGATAGGCTAAAATTGACCGAACAGTCATGACTAACTGTTGCAAACAGCAGCTAATATTGACCTAACAGCTGAAAATAGCATATTTTTTGCAAAAAAGCAATATTTGATGCTGCTACAGAACCTTTGAAAAACAAGTCTGAAAAAAATCATTGCAGTGAATTTCCAGGTAAATTTATATCTGGCAATCAAACATGGATAACAATTCTAAGCATGGACATTGCTTTAAAATTAACTTTTGCATGATCCCGTCTCCTAATCATTATTACACACTTATTTGCAAGCACAAGTATAATCCAAACACCACATTGTCAGTTATTATTGCCAATGTTGGGAAGGAGAAAAAATCTGGAAAAAAGGGTGCAGATGCATTACAAATCATAGCCAAGAATTTTTTATCAATAAAATCTACTTAACAAGATATCGTTTTAAGTATTGTTTAAAAAGCTTATTGATGTAAAAATGAAAACATTATAATAAATTTATAAGTCACAAAACATCAACCTAATAACCAACTAATAACAAAAAGAGTGAATATTTTAAAACATTGAATGAACTTAAATAGACATCTTACTAACTAAAAAATATAAATGCAATTACCTTGGTAAAACACCCATTTGAATGACGATACCTTTTTGTTTATTACTGCCAATAACAGTATTTTTAAGGTGTCTGAAAAGAAGGGGAAAAAATTAGAAGTAGGTAATATTGAAATTTTCATTGAACAGTTATCATTTTTAATTTATTTATGGCACAGAGGTAATTAATAAACATAAATATAGAGGTTAAGAATTATAAAAGGGTAGTTTTCCTTAAAATTCTAAAAACAGTTATCTTTGAGTAAACAACTTTCATAGTTGTGTGCAAAATAATGATAAAAATTATTTTTCTTTAAATAGCATGAGTTAAGGCTACATGCAAAAAGAGAAATTAGTATTCAGGGCTCTGAACTTTCAACCACCAACTAGATTTAACTGTTGAGACTATATTTTACAGGTTGCGGTTACTCCATATTTTTGATAGTCAAGAAAGCAGAATCATTTGAAGAAACAAAATGATTTAACATGGGGAAATACATTTTTGTGCTCAAGTTTGTTACTTAAAAAATTTTCAGCGGTTATTAGTTAACATATTAGATAATATATTACAGTTAGCCTCCCCTCTTAGAATGTGAAAATTCAGTCTTCAGAATAAAAAATTTTTAAGCACTCTATTTTTATTTTGTACAATGCAATCTCGGTAAAAATTGAAAAATAAGTATTTTATAAATGTCAACCATTTAAGTATGGAAGAACTTAATACAATCTTTCAAGTCCTAATTGAAGTCAATCATAGTAAATGCAGTATTAAATTAATCAAAACTAGTTCATTTGCTCAATTAAAAAAGCAAATTAAAAAAAATTAAATGGCTGTTTAGTTTTTTTTTCTTCCCCCGCACAGTTAATAGAAAGGATTTCAAACAGTAATATTGCGACTTCTCAATGAAAATTAATGGGCTTACATTTCAAAAACAGCGACTTTCAGATTTTTTTAAAAAAAATAGCACTAATTTTTATTATGTCAAATAAGCTAGTTACACCACTTTAAAAGTGCATTTAAATTTTATACTTTTTTAATTAACTTCATTAGTATAAAAATTGAAATAACAAACAAAGATATACTTCAAAGCATCTAAACATGTCTGTGGATCAGGGCTAAACAGGCGGTCAATAAATTGCTGATTACTTTCAACATCCTAAAAAAATAATAAAAAACACACAATAAATATCACAATACAAAGTTCTAACATTTTCAACATTAAAATCTGCATAAAAAAAGACATGTCTAACAAAAGACATGACTAACTTCTTTGTGTTTGATAAATTCCAAAACTTAAATCGGGAAAAATATAGGAAAAATGAGGGAAAATATAGGGTAATAGGGAATTCTTTCAAAGAAGAGTCAGGAAACTAATGAAAAATCAGTAAATCTTTATCTCTTGAACAAAAACTTTCTTTAGAAATTTTTTTTTACTTTTAGAAACAAAAGCAATCTAAAAATTACAAAATCCCGGAATCTGCTTACTTTTCTAAGATAAAACTACATAAAAACATATCTCTTGCAGGTCTTTCTATTTTTTTGTTAATTATCTACGCTAGGAGTGAAAGTTTCAAAATCTTATGACACAAATTAAGACATTGGAACCCCCCCCTTCTTCTTAATTAGTTAAGTTCTTAAGAAACACAAATACAAAACTAAATTTTGATTAATACATCTAACAACATTGAATAAATCAATACAAAATTATTTCAGGAGAAAATGTTCATATATATACTCACTTACATTTTATTTAGATCTGAAAATTACATTTGTCTTTAGTTTAAAGTGACCACACGTCCCGATTTTGGCGGGACAGTCCCGCTTTTTGGTGGACTGTCCTGCGTCCCACCGATTTTTAAGAATGTACCGCTTTTTAGAAAATATCTGCATTTCTTATTTTAAATGTACTGTAAAAATATATTACATATTATTTATTAAGTATTATGGTAAATATAAAGAAATAAAAAATGCATTAAAAAAAAAACACATAAAATGCATGCAGAGTAAACTAAATTAGGCAATGTACCGAGTTAGATTTAATCGGTGGTGTTCGAACATTGTGTTACGTCTCCGCTTAATAAATGCAGACAGGGCGGTTTCTTGTTTTCAATTTGACGTTCGGTTTGACTCATTATTTGATTGACGAAGGTAGAGCAATAGTCGACACAACGTAACGGTCAATAAGGTAAAATTCAATACTCTTTTTCAGTCTTTATATGTAATTTTTTATTTATTTTTAGTATTTACCCACAGAATAAAAGATGAGTAAAAAAAGAGAATACAAATTTAAGGAAGAGCTAAGCAAAAAATTTCCATTTATTAAAAAAACCAAAGTAGACTATATGGTACGGTGTGATAAATGCAAATGCTGAATTTCAGTCTCACATGGTGGAAAAAACGATATTACTAAACATGTAGGGACAAAAAGGCACAAAAGATTTTTGAATAATGCCTTTACCTCGTCTAATATGGAACAGTTTCTTCGCAGTGCTAGATTTGGCAACACAGAAAAACAGCTAACATTAGCGGAAGGGCTATTTGCTTTCCACACCATAAACCACAATCAAAGTTTCAGATCAATGGATTGTACGTCACAAATGGTCAAAACATTATACGACAAAAAATTTGCATGTGCAAGGACAAAAACCGAAGCAATTATTTGTAATGCTTTTTCATCGTATTCGTTTTTAAGATTGCAGAAAGAATTAGAAAAATGAGCATTTTAGCATTTATCACAGAAAGTGTCAATTTAATAGTCTAATTTACACATTTAAAAAAAAATTTATAGGAGAAAGATAATGGTGCATTTCAACTTAAAATTGGATGTTAATACAAGAAAACAACAGGGGCAAGGTGAAGAAAGTCATGTACCCCCTCCCTAGGGGGGTCACTTTTTAAGCTGTTACAGATCTGATGCTTTGCGTTACGGATCTGATGTTGATACATCAGTATTCATTAGAAGTGATATTAAAACTTTTTTATATGTATAAAATGACTTTTATATGTAAAATATTTTTTAAAAAATCAAATTGAATTTTAAAAAATACATTTCTTAAAAAAAAGAAGAAAAAGATTGAGTCATAAAAAAAAACNAAAAGTAGTGAAATTTAATTTTGGACATAAATTGACACTTTTCATGAGAAATGCTCATTTATAACCATATATTCTGATGCTTCCAACCACAAAGATTTAAAGTTATTTCCCACAACTGCTAGATTTTTTGATCCAGAAACAGGAATTAAAATTAGAATATTAGATTTTGCTTCATTGCCGGGTGAAACCTCACAAATAATTTTTGATTCAATAAATACTATTTTAAAAAAGAATAATTTGAACAATAAAATTATTGCCTATTGTGCGGATAACACTAACGCAAATTTTGGTGGAAAAGCTAGAAGAGGCATCAATAACGTTTTTACGAAACTTAATGAACATATGAACCAAAAATTTATTGGAGTAGGTTTTGCAGCGCACATTCTGCATAATACTATTCAAACAGCATCTGACTTACTTCCAGTTAATGTTGAAAATATTAATGCAAAAATTTTTTCGTACTTTTATATATATACTGTGCGTGTTGAAAGTTTGAAGGATTTTCGTGAGAGCACAGAAATCGAATATAAAATAATTCTTGGTTACAGCAAAACACGATGGCTAGCTCTTTTACCAGCTGTAGAAAATATTTTAAAAATATATGAACCATTAAAATCATACTTTTTATCACAAGATAAATGTCTAAGAATATTGAAGCTCTTTTTTGAAAATGACACATCACAAATTTGGCTTCAGTTCATCCACAACCAAGCTACATTATTTTACAATGCTATGAAAATTATTGAAGGGGACAGAATTTAAATTACGGAAGTGTCAAAGGAAATCAATAATTTAAAAACAAAATTATGAGAAAGAATTGATAGTAACGATTACATTCCTTTAATTATTCGAAAAGACATCACTAGGTTGGAAGAACGAGGTGCCATTAAACGACCAGATTTTCTGAAACATGTCAAAAAATTTTATAATAACTGCTTGGAATATCTTGAAGAATGGACAGTTCAATTCAAAGATATTAAAAATTTTCATTGGGGGACATTAAAAAAAGGAGATTTTATGGGAATATGTGGAAAAATCTTTTGAATATATTAGTAGCCATTTTCCAAAAAATAAAATTTGAGAAAATGATCTTTTTGATGAGGTGCCATTGGTAAATAGATATGTTACAGATGAATAAATTAAATGTTGGTTGTCTGCAAATGGGGAAACAGACAAAAAATGGACAGGGTTATTCCTACATTTTAAACAGAATAATATTCCTTATCAAAATACTTTGAAAATTGCAGAATTCGCTCTCGCCCTTCCAGGAACAAATGCGGCAACAGAACGTGTTTTTTCTAGTATCAATAAAATATGGACAACTGAAAAAAAGCAGTTGAACATTAAAACTTTAAAATTGATATTAAGTGTAAAATATAATTTGACCAATTCATATGAAATATTTCACGACATTTAATTAAATGATTCCGAATCTATTGCAAAGTATTCACTCGGATCAAAAATATGACCATAAAAGAAAATCATAATTTCTTTCAAATAAAAAATTTAATTTGATTGAAAATCATGATGTTCAAATTATTATTTTTTACAAATATTTTTATAGTTACCAATAATTAATAATAAATACATTTTTGTACAAGTATATGAATGTATACAATAAAATATATAGTATAACTAAATTGTAATTCTCATTTCATCCCATTTGTCCCAATGAAAATGTGGTCACTTTACTTGTTAATTCTAAGCAAAAACCAAAACTAAAGTATTTCCAGGATTTGTTTTTTTAATTTTGAAAAAATATTAACTTCTAAAACTTATATCTTTCATAATAATTTAAAAGGAAAAATAAATAATAATGTGGTGGTGCAAAACCAACAACCAGCATCCGAACACACACAAAAATAAAAGAGAAAAATCCTTTTAAAAAAAATAATAATAATTGAATCACACATTTGAGTTATAGCTCTAGTTGCATAGATTCCATCGTAAATTTAAGTGATTTTTCAATCGAATTTTTGAGCCTTTATTGTCACATAGCATTTAAACATATTTATGCAGGCATATTATACAAGACTTCTGTATCTTCCAAATAATGGGCATAGTCTGACAACATTTCAGCAATGGCCCACGCGAGAAACTAATAAAAAAAATTGCAAGTTTAATATCTGTTTGGAGCATTAGCAAATTTAGATGGCACGGCAGATTATAATATGGAAATATCCCCATAAAATCAACAATCAAAAGGGCAACTTATTGTAAACCATTGCCTAAATCTGATATCATTAACAGTAAAATCAATTCCAATATATGAATAAATCTTAACAAGAAAAAGGCAATCCAACTTATATCCCCATTTTTTGTCTTAGAAACAAACATTAAGTTTAAAAAAATTACATAAAACAAACATATAATTACCATGTACGGGTCCATATTAACCATTTTCATGTTGGATAAAAAATGTTTTGTTTTCTGTCTAAATCAAATAATAACGAAGAATTCGTTGCTGATTTTAAAATCACTTATATCATGAATATAGAACGATCATACTTCAGTAGTTAAAATACTACACGAATATTTATTTATAAATCTTTTTTCATCGTGAAATCAACAACAAATCTACTAATAAATTGATTAGAATGACAGATATTTCGCTAGGATTCATAATGTGAATAAAAGAAGCATATTTACGAACGGCTGTTCTTTAGTATTTGAATAGGATATGTTTTTCAACCGTTTAAACCGAAGATGCAGTAACAAATTGCGTCTATTTTATTCCGTTTTTTCAGTTGTATGTTCTTATTTGCTTCAATCTTCACAGAGAACTTGTACTTAAAATAAACTCAAATAGTTTATTGATTATATTGCAAAAATTTTCAATATCTATGCCCTTGTTTTTTTCTAAAGTTTTACTTTCATTATGTGAACACCAACGAGTAACGCCAGGGTTGCCAGATTAGGGGTTTTCCCCCTAAATTTAGGGGGATTTTTTATTTTCAGTGGGTATTTTAGGGGAATTAGTTTTTAGGGGTTTGTTTTAGGGTTATTTAGGAATTTTACTAGTTTCATTTTGGTTACCTTCTAATATCAAATTCTATAACTGAATGTGTGAGATGGTAATATGAAAATCAATATGTTAAATCAAAACAAAAAGATTAAGATATAATTTTAGACCTTTACCCCTTTGTTGAATGTAGTAGGTTATTACTTAGCTCGATCAACCACTACGTTAGGAGAATTTGAATTCAAATTATTTAAAATTTTTAATGTGCATGGTTTAAAAATAATGCCAAAGGATGAAGAAAAAAAGAAGTACGTACTAAAGTACAAGAAAGATTGGGAACACGAAAAGCAGTTTAAAGGTTTGAGGAGACACGTGGAAGTTAACGCGACTCCTAAAATAAAAACATATAATGAATAATTAAGTTGATTGAAGAATAGAAACAATTAACAGAATGCCAGCCATAATTAAATAATAATAAATTTAATAAAAGGATAACAATTAAGGTTACAAGTTAGTTNAAAAAGACTATATCGTTGATAATAAAATATTTATGAAAAAATGTGCAAGTCAAAGAGTATTGACAAAAATATCTTAAATATTTTAGTAGAAATTAAAGATAATGTAACAATTGAAATGTAAAAAAGATTAATTTGTTGATAATAAAATATTAAAAAGTACTAAAGCAACGTTTTCTATACATTATTTAACTTATGTACTATTTTTTAATACTTATACAATAAGTTAAAAATTTTGGGGTTTTTTAAAAATTTTTAGGGGATTTTACAACGCTATCTGGGGGTGAACGGTTATCAGCACCTGGCAACACTGACTAACGCTATCCTTTACGAAGGATAGCGTTGGTGTGGTAGCGTCAAGAAAGGGGGAGGGCGATCAATAATTTTTCAAAACTTAAAATCCTATTCAATCTCTTTTTTCTAAACCCCTAAAGAATTATTTTTTATTCAATAAGAAATTATTAATTTTAAATATTTTATGCATAGTTTAGCGAAATAATTCTATGATTAGCACTTTTAAGTTAGTAGTATCTTAAAAACCATTTAATGATTATTTTTTTTTTAAAAAAAGGTTACATTTTAAACAAAACGATTTTAATGATATAAAAATTTAAATCAATTTTATAATTGTAGTTAATTGTTACTTAGTTTAATTGGGCATAAAATAAGATATTTTAATAATAAAGATTTTTTTCTCATCATAATAGTGTAATAACACTTTAGAAAAAGTAAAATATAGATAAAATTGACCTTAAATCTTAGCTAACTTAAAATTTAAAAAAAGAAAAAGAACGGGAGAAGACGTTGGCATGTATTTTAGCTTACGAATAATTTCCTTATATTTACTTTAAAATATAAATGTGCTGATATTAGAAAAAGAAGATATTTTTAATGGATTGAAGAAGACTTAAAAATTAACTTAGAAACCGAGAAAAATCGCCTTTTATGCAATCATTCTTTGAAACTTAATTGTACAGAGCGCAAAATAAAAAAGATAATACCTAAGATAACTTTTGTTCTGACAATCAGATTTTCACAGACTTGAAGATAGGAGAGATGTGGCTAACGTTAGACAATGGTCTAGCAGGCCGTGATTTAGATATCGGGGGGGATGTTAGACATAAAAATGTCAGGGCTCCACTGCCAATGTCTGATTTATCCATAGATATAAAGATCCCCTATATTAGTCACAGGATTTATCACAAGGCCTGAGAGGCAAAGGCCTAGGGCCCCCGCATTTCCGCCCACTGTACTTATTGTTTGTTTACAAAATGATTTTAAATTGTACATAGCATGAGAAAAATTATGATAGATTAGTAAATTTGAGATTATATTTAGTTAAATTTTTGCACTTATAATTTTAATAGACAATTCTTATGCAAAAATAATAAAAAAAGAAAAAAAACTTTTGCGTAACTGTAAGGGGGCTCCCAGAGGCTCGGGGCTCTCAGGCCTTATGATGAATCAGATGCTGAAGAGTAGAAAAAATGGAATATTTCTTTTATTTATCTCTCAAAAATTTCCAACTAATTCTGGCAGAACGGCATAACAGTGTTAAACTTTCAAGCATACTAACAAGACTAAACACTAGTTTGTTAAGTAGCAAATTAAAAAACAATGTTTTAATGATGGAAAAATAGCTTTTTAATTTTAATTGCAAGTGCCTATTTTTATTCACCGTTTTTAACAATAGAAGACATTAAAAATATGTATGAATATTTTTTAATTACACAATTTAATAGTCAAGTTCGATTTTATTGCTATTTAATAACCAATAATGAGTATAGTTTAAGCGAACTAATGTCTCAACGGGGTTAGTGTATAGTTTGTCCAAAGTAAGAACTCACCTAGCTATTCGTGTGGACCCGTAGCGCTGACTATGGTAACAAGGAATAACTATTTCAAGTAGGGGCGTGGGTCACTGTTTAGGACAGGTTTTAGCTCGGATCAGCGAAGGAAAGGGAATCTTTGTGTTAGCCCTAGAGCGGTGTTTCCCAAACTTATGACTTTTGTGTACCCTTTCTAAATTTTTCGTTACCCTGTGTACCACTAATAAAAAAATTAATGTATTTTTACCGTAAAAAAGATTGCACAAAAGTTACAAATCACAACTGACTGTTGACATCAATTATTATTAACTGTTAATTCTGCGAAAAATAGCCAATAGAAAAATACGTAATCGTAAATTTTCATTATTAACTTTGTTTTTAAATAAAATTTCTTGACATTTTCGTTTGTCGTAAGAATTTAGCATAAGAAAGTGTTCCCCCGCTAAATTGTTCCCGTACCCCTGGGGGTATGCGTACCACACTTTGGGAAACACTGCCCTAGAATGAAGAGAATCTACCTTCTCTGAAATGCTCTATTCTTGTTTCCGTAGCAGCAGACGGCCTCAGACTTTGCTACGGGGGAAGTTCGTACCATAGACAAACTATAAACGCATAGGTGGGAGACTATTATGGACCTGTCAATAGTAGCAGAGCGCCTTTCATTGGAAGTAAATTTATGTTACAACTCGCAATTTTTTTTTTGAATCTTTCGCAGCTAAAAAATTTTTTTCTTAAAATTTCAACCCAAAATTTGAGATTTAAATGTGAGTACACTTACGTTAACACTTACGTACCCTTAATGCATCTAGTTTAATGCCCAACCCTTCGCTATAAAAGTTTGGATTATTTTTATGAATATTATGATATTTTCATTTAAAGAGAAAATATTATGCAGTTAGAGAATTAAAAATTTCTGTTAAAAAAAGATGCTAAAAAATAATGTTATAAGATGCTTTTAAGTAGAGAGAAAGGATATATAGCGTCAATTTGGTAGAAAATACCCATTTTACACAAATATGTAAAGAACTTTTTACGGAATTATTATTATTATTTATTTTTAAAGAGTGCTTAGTCAAAAACATGTAAACGTCAGAGAATATATATCGCTAACGCATTGAAGGATAATTTGCAAATTCTTTATAATTTTCTTCAATGTAGAATTCATTTGAAACTAGTTTTAATTTAAAAAGTGAGAGTTTATTCACTTGAAAATATCTTAGATGTCAAAAAAGTAATTATGATTATTAATGACATGAGAAAAATAAACATGCACAATACTTAAGAATGAGAAATGATGTTTGTTTTATTTTTATAAATTTTTGCAATGCAGAAATCATTTAAAACTATTTTTAAATTAGAAAGTGAGAATCAATTACCCTTAGAGAAGAAAATACCCTTAGATGAAGAAAAGTAATTATTATTAATGACATAAGAAAAATAAACATGCACAATACTTAAAAATGAGAAAAGAGGTTTTTTTTTAAAAAAAATATATATTTTTGTAATGCAGAAATCATTTGAAACTCATTTCAGATTAAAAATCATTTGAAACTAGATCATTAGAAACTACATCAGATCATTTGAAACTAGTCTTATTTTAAAAAGTGAATGTCTATATTTTAGGAAATACTCATATACTATCTCAAAATTTACTTGCAGAACAGTTTTTTTTAAAAAAAAATATACCATTTTTATAGCATATATATCACAAACATCGGACATTTATTATAATCATAACTAATTACCAAAATTAATTAAGTATCATTGGCGATAATAATAGCATTGTGGAGTGGCGATTTGTAACGATTCCCCAAAAAGAATCAATAACTTTGCTTTATAGCACATTCCATTAACTCCATTAACTTTGCTTTACAGCACATTCAATTTCAATAACTCCAAATATCTGGTTACAAAATTTTAGGTTTCGAAATTTTAGTTTTAAAGTAGTTAAAAAAAATAGCATTAGAATATTCCTAATTAAACAAGAGTTGCAATTTTTAAAGTTTTTACAATACTTCATTTAACTCACACACGCTTCTCGGAAAACTGGAAAAAACATATACCCATGCTCATACCCTCCAACTTATGAGGATTTTGAAAATAATTCTTTCTCGTGGTAGCGAACCAAAATAGAAATTTTTAAAGCAAATGGATCTCTCATAAAACTTTTATCAGAACTTAAGAATCTAGCCATATGGCCTGCNTCTATATTTTAGAAAATACTCATATACTATCTCAAGATTTATTTGTAGAACAGTTTGTTTTTTTTTAAAAATATACCATTTTTATAGCATACATATCACGAACATCGGACATTTATTATAATCATAACTAATTACCAAAATTAATTGAGTATCATTGGCGATAATAATAGCATTGTGGAGTGGCGATTTGTAACGATTCCCCTAAAAGAATCAATAACTTTGCTTTATAGCACATTCCATTAACTCCATTAACTTTGCTTTACAGCACATTCAATTTCAATAACTCCAAATATCTGGTTACAAAATTTTAGGTTTCGAAATTTTAGTTTTAAAGTAGTTAAAAAAATAGTATTATAATATTCTTAATTAAACAAGAGTTACAATTTTTAAAGTTTTTACATTACTTCATTTAACTCACACACGCTTCTCGGAAAACTGGAAAAAAAATATACCCATGCTTGTTTTTTTCAGCAAAAATCTTTTAATGTAAACCTAAAAAAGGTTTGTTATGCGGTTTACGTGTAAACCTTCTAACCTTAAAACGAGATCAGTGATAATCTGCTCTATTCTGCACACATTGCCCTAATCCAAAACCTTGGAAAAAACAAGCTTCCATATAAAAACCTGAAAATCGAGGTTGTCTTAGGGTTTTCAAGCGTGAAAAAATCCTTAAATAAAGCTAATCTCAAGGTGAAAATAATCTTAAATCTAGGTCATTATAAGGTTTCTTTTCGCAACGTCTTGTATGCTCAGCTAAAATCCACATTGTCATGAAATTTTAATGGACAATGCAATTTGATCTGATCGCTAGTGTGACGTCATTATGGACCTAAGAGACCATTTTTCCCAAGTGACAATGCTTTTTTGAAAAAAAGCTTAAAAAATTATTTTTTAATTCTTTTTGGATGAAAAGTTTGAAACTGCTAATTTTTTGCTTTATTGAAAAAAGGTTTTTAGTACATTTTCGTGACAATGAAAAAAAATTCTGACGCAATTTTTCCATAAGGTTACATGTTTTCTGGATATGTTATTAGCTATCGTCGCTTTTTGTACTTTAGCAGACTATTATGTTTAAAATTCCTTTATTATTAGTTAGCACAAGTCCACATATTTTTATTTTTCGTACTTTATATGTGACGATCGAATATAGTTATGCACAGATACAATTTGATTAATATTAAAGAACTATTTGTATCGAGTCAAGAATTTAAATTTTATTGTATACAATTATACTTAAATGATTACATTTCAATGTCGAATGAATGAATAATTGACAAGACATAAATAGAAGAAAGAATTCTATTCTAAAAATTTGTAAATATATAAGTTATTTTAATAAGTAGTTATAATATGACTTTGTTGCCAATATTTTATTCAAGTTTCTTTCCTAGTAAATTAAGAATAAATTAGCAGACGACTTTCAAAAAAAATTTAAAAAAACATCGTTTTTTGCTTCCTTGAAAAAAAAAACTATTGACCATTAACTAAATCGTTTGCGTAAGTCAAGATCCTCGTAAGTAAACTACATTTACGTATTAATCACCCCATTTTATTTAGATATATATCTTCGTTCAAATTATTTTTAAAAAATAATAAATTTTTATTTTTCTCGGTTTTTATGTAATGAAAACAATCGAAGCTTTATATTTCTCGATAGAAAATAATACATAGAGGAATATGGCATAAAAAATGTATGCCTCATACAAATGTATGTCATTCAACATTTTTTCGACCCTTATTGAATTAAATAACCAAGAATAATAAATAATTATTAAAAATTATTTTTCACATGAAATTAAACTCACTCGTTGGGTAAACGAGTTTCAGAACTGGGTGCTCTTTTTTTTTCTAAATTGTGCAATTAGTTTTAAAGATATGACTAAAGACACAAAAAGTGAAATTAAAACTATGTATATATAGATGAAGTAAAAGTACGTTTATGTGACTGAGTTAGTAACTTAATTAATAGTTTGCTCTAACTAATTATCATATTTGTAATCACTTCCTTTAAGCACTAAGGCTCACTTAGTACGCGAAAATCCGATCATTTGAACAAAAATTGTTCTTTTTTCCTTCTTTCTTTTGCTCTGTACTGCCATTTTCTTCAAATAGGTGCGTTTCATACTATAAGTGACTTTTTGTCTCCAAGCAAAAATAGCTTAAACACATTAAAATCGGTAGCATTCAATAAAAAATTAAAAAGTAGTATCCAGTTTACTTTAAGCTAACAAACAAAAATTTTAATTTAAAGCTAACAAAATATTTAATGTCTAGATTTCGCTTCATTTTAAACTTAACACCAATAGCAGTTTTAGAATTAAACATATTACAACTTTAATTGCTAAAATGTGGTAGTTAAAACATACCATTTTATCATAAAAGAATATCGTAATTCTTCTACTGTTATTTTATTTTTATTTTTTTTGTCCTAACGATGAAACTTACTGTGGACTTCGTATTAGAAATTTAAAAAAAAATGCTTCATTTTAATTTTTATGACAATCGCAGGAAGAAAAAAATCAGGACAATATTTTTCAAGTAAATCAGAAATTTTTTTGAACAGTAAATATATTTATCAGATTATCTTCAAAAAAGGCAAACTAAAAAAAAAGTATTATTGGTTCTACTTAACCTTTTACTAACAGCTGGTCTGATACAAATAAACCAAAATGGCAACCTTCACTACGCTTGGAGCCATAAACAAGGGTTAAGTGTAATAAAAGCAAGTATTATTGCTAAATAATCATAAACTATACTATTTTTAATTTCAGAATTATTTTTTTTAGAACAGAAAGTTTTAACAGCTTTCAGTATAATTTTATCAAGTACTGATTAACTCATAATAGTTTTAAACCAATGCAAGGAAAATTTTTTATAGAGTTTATTATTTTATGGAAAATTTTATACATAATTTTTTTTTTTATCTTGCAGTAAAAAGTAACCATTATCAATTAATTAATATTCTTTCATACCGAAATATATTTAAAGTTTGAAATTGAGTTTAATATTTTTTTAATCAAATAACTTTAAAGTAGGGTTTAAATAATCTCTAAATGAAAACGCAGAGAACGGGCCACTTAACATTTTTGTAATTTTAGTGGATGATCCTTCAATTCATTATTTAAAAATTCATGATATGATTACTACTATATTGTAAATTGGAATCGAACATTTTTAAAATCACATGAAAAATACGAATCAATAATTGTGAAACTACAAAAGTTCATCCAACTACACAAAAAGATTTTTTTCTGCGTTTGCTTAAAATGATATATAAGCACAGGATCCTCTGAATTCATCAACACAAAAAATTGTTAAATATTTTTTTCTTCTCCTTAGAATAACTGTATTCCCAAAAAGGTTTAAACAATGAATTCGGTGGGTAAGGCTAAATGCCTGAACCCTTAATTTAAATATAGTCAGTCCCTAAATTTGAACCATCGAATTTCGCAAATTCTTCTAGCATTATTAATTAAATTAAAAACAATGTTGGATCAAAAATCCGATTTTTTTTTTGTTGATATTTCCGATCAATTTTTTAAAAAAATTCGCAGTTGTATTCTTAGAAAATGGGATGCTTCTAAATACACACAAAAATCAAGAATAGCAGAACAAAAAGCTAAAAATCAGGACAAAATATTTTTCATCAGAAATATCAGGACAACTACGAACCCTGGCATTGGAAAAGCTTCTTTTGGAAAATTTTAGTTTACACTTAGATTCTAGTTTCATAAGCTTGTTAAAATATTATAACTTTTTTTGTGTTCCTCTCCCTGAAAACTAAACGCCTTCTACTGGCCTATGTCCTTATTAATTTTATTTTAAAGGAATCGTCTGCAGCATTTTTTAAATCAAGAATTAATTTAAATCACTACACTTTTTGCAAGGAGTTTTAACAGGACAATGAGACAATTTCCCCCCCCCTCCCCCACCAGAGTACGGTCTTGAGCTCAATAAATAAATTACTCTACTGTGTTGTTTAATAACGTAACGATAGCGATTAATAGCTGGGAACTTTTACATCTTCACAAAAAGAACAATACAAAACGTTTATTTAAATCTACATCTCTTTAAACCATCGATAATTTTAAAAGCAATCAAATCTCCATACTAGAAATAAAATCGGTTAATCTCTCTTTATTTTTAAGGAGAGAAAAAACAGGAAAAATCTTCCAATGAATAACAATTATTTCTCAATTTTCACTAAGCCAGAATATAAACCGGAGCTTCTAATAAACTCTTCGCCAGACTTCAATCGATTATTCTCTGTACCGACGAAAAACAAGCAGCGGTTTCCTCCAATACGCGTGGCAACGTACACTGCAGTCGGAGGGGGAGGATGGAGTGGAGGTGGGGGTAGTAGGTGACATGCGTACGCAGGACCGGTCGATCTCAGGGGAGAAAATACCACGTGACTCACTCCACACGTACTTCTAAGGACCGGCGCACACGTACAAAAGCGTACGTCTTTAGCAATGGATAGGAAAAGGCGAGCCGTTAAAAAAGAAATCTTTGACCCTTCTGATGATGATGGGGCCCGTGCCCCTAAACAGGCCGCAAGCCCCGCACAAGAGGCAACCAGAGCCCAAATAATAAGCTTAGAATCACAAATGAGTAAACTAAATAAGTTGAAAAATGATGGGAAAGTAGACGAAAAAGCAGACTTCCAAATACGATGTTTGGAGGAAGAATTGAAAAAGGTGACGTACTTTTTTTTGTTGCTTTATATATTTCTCTCCTCTCTTTTGCATGGCACATTCTAGACTAGATTCGTGCATTGCGTATAGTGATGGGTTTGCAAATGAAGGAAGGAGTTTACATTGTTATTTCAGTTGCGTTCAACAAATAAGAGGAATTTAAAAATTACTTTTATACGTTTAGTGAGTGGTAATAAATTCTTCTACGAGCGTTCATTCTTTTTTATTTTTGGGTTGTTCATTCCATTTTCCATTCTTTTTTATTTAACTTTTAAATGAAAATAAAATTATGGTTAAATTATGTAACAGTAAATTTTTTTAGAAATGTACGAAAAATAGTATTAACTAAATTAGTATTAATTATATTATATAATTTTTAATTACAGTATCAGTATAATAGTATCATCTTTTTTTTTACATGTCTTCATTGAAAAAAATGTATAAAATGAATAATATACTTCGAAAGTAAAAAAAAATTCAGAAATATTAAAAAACCTCTAAACTGTTAGGTAAATTCACAAGCTTTAGTGCAAAATTTAATCATCCTTATTTTAAAATTTTAAAGGATAAGAGTTAAATTTTTTTTCTTCTCGAAATAATGTTTTAATTGTTGAACTGAAGTCCCCCCCCCCGCAAATCAAAATTTATAATGTATTTATGTTTATACGAATTTATCCTTAAATTTAAGAAAGCGTCTCTGTAAGTCTTTGAAATGAAGTCTTCAAGTTTAATATTTTTAGATAAATAAAAAGCTATCGATACAAGATTTATTTAACCCTCAACGCATCGTGGTCAGCGTTGTCCCCTTTCTTTTTTTTGGGGGGGAGGGGAGGAGACATGAAAACGCAAGAATTAGAATTTTTTTTCGAAATAATGTTTTAAGTGTAAAACTTTTTCCCCGCAAATCAAAATTTATATTGTATTTTTATTTGTATGAATGGGTTCTTAAATTTAAAAAAGCGCCATTCAAAGTCTTTGAAATAAAGTCTTTCAGTTTAATATTTTTAGATAAATAAAAAACTATTGATACAAGATTTTTGTTAATCCTCAACGCATCGGGGTCAGCGTTGTTCCTTTTCTCTTTTTTTTCCGGGGGAGGGGACTCGTTATTCGCTACACTTTTTTGATTACTGAAATTGAATAAGATAAGCTCATCAATTAATTAAAAATAAAAAACATTAATTTAAATGTTGTCATATAACTATTTTATTATAAAATTTTCAATAAGTTCTAATCTATTTTTAAATTTTAAGAAATTCAGGCACATTTCGTCTGTTGCGAGAAGTTATAGGTTTTCTTTGCTGAAATTGATTTATGTTAATTCTAATCATTGCAAAATTAAATATGAAAAAAAGTTATAATTATGAAATGGACGCAACAGGAAAAGGACGAGCCGATTTTTTGTTACGGATAGTAATAATGCGCAAAATAAAAAAACGAATCACCTTGAATAATTTTTGATCTAATGATCGGATCTTCATGTTCTAGGACTCCATCTTAATGGTTTGAGGGTGTTTATCTCAAATATGGTAATTAACTTGTGCAGACGATATTTTAAGTTACGAAATCAGACACAGAAACGTACTTTGTCTGGGGTATCCGCTCACCTGGAAAGTCATGAAAAATCATGGAAAGTCATGAATTTCGGTTTTGAACAAAATTTGTCATGAAATGTCATGATTTTAACTATTTTTTTTAAAGAAAATCATGGAAAGTCATTGATTTAGGTCGCCAAAAAATCAAACTTTTAAAATGGAATTTAAAAATACCCTCCCATTTCATGGTGTTCCGAATATCTGAATTTGTAATAAATTGTAATCCACATTAAATCCAATTTATTAAAATGTAAAATGTTTTTATCATGTTTTAAATGAAAGAAAAAACACCATTTTTAGAGCGAATTATCTTTTAAACTTCTGTGATTTCAAAATTTTTGTTATTATTTATTTTTGATTTTATCAATTTAAAATTCTTGCTGAAGCAAGCCAGACATTGGCGAATTTTTTTAAATTCCGAAATGAGAACAGAAAAATCAGGAGTATTTCTTTCCTTTGGGACGAACAAGAAAAGTATCTTTAGAATATAATTCTGCAGAAAAAAATTATTTTCTTTTGTATTTTTTTCGACTATTTTATCGCTTCAACTCTTTCTTTACTCTGTTTTTTTTTTTTTTTTTTTTTTTTTTTTTTTTTTTTTTTTTTTTTTTTTTTTTTNTTTTTTTTTTAATTTAATATCTTTAAATATGACGATACAGAATATAACAGTTTTGGTTATACCGATCATTTCAATTCGTATTATTATAATGCTTTTTTAAATTTCTTGTGTTTTTGTCAGAGAAAATAGTAACTTTGTTAAGTCATTAAAAATTCTGGGAATTAGTCATGGAAAGTCATGAATTTGAAAATCCAAAATGTAGCAGATACCCTGTCGACAGATTCGGATTTTAGACCCCCTAAATAGAGAGGGTAGCCGCAATCTGGGAAATATAGACCCTATAGTTTGGTCAGGAGAGTGATCCAAAGTTTGGACACCCTAGTGTTAATTTATTTTTTGATTATTTCGCCACATTTCCTGAACTTTTTAAGCGAATTGAAAAATCTTCGCACTCAATTATAAAATCCGTTTATACAATGATAATCTTCGTTAATAAATTAATTAAATAAATTAATATCCATGCCAAAAAATTAATAACTATTTACTATTTTTTATTATTCATAATATAAACAAATAAGAGAATTATGTTTAAATTATTCCCTTTTTTCATAGAATTATTTCATTTTTCATATTATATTCATCATAGAATTATACATTTATAAAAAAACTGAATTTAAAATTTGAATTTAGATTTGTATCATTTTCTTTTAAATGTTTTTGCTTAATAGGGTTATTTTTGCCGAATTTTTTTATTGTATTTTACTACTTATTGATTTATAAGGAAGTTGATACTAGGGTCTGGGCGAGATCGGAGTTAGATATCGTCGGGTATTATTGAAAGTTTCAATTAAACTAATTTGTATTATTTTTACATTGGTCAATATTTTTGTTATCTAAACGAAATTTGTCGTCACTCGCGAAAATATCGTATTCGATAATTGGTGTTATCGATAATGTTTTATTTTATTTTGTAACCGGCATTGAACAGCCGATCCAATTCTGAGTTTACGACTATCAGTGTTCAATTCTTTACCCTCGTAATTTTAAACCAATCCCAGAAGACACGGAAACTTCTGGATAAAGCATTGGGAGGAACTAACTCCCATTTGCGTTACGCGGAGAGGAAAACCTCCCACGTTTAACCCGACGTCAAGAAGATTCTAACCCATGATTCGTCTGCCCCTGATATTGACATTTTACTGAGGATATTTTACGTCAGCACTGTGGACGGTGCCGGGAGTAGAATTCGTATATCAACCAGCCTCCGCTGCCATTCGAACCTGGGTGACTCATTGAGAAGCGTAAGCTTTATCCCCTTCTGATAATTATCGATTATAATATAATATCGATAGTGTTTTCATTTTATTTTATAACCGTCGTTGAACAACCGATCCAATTCCTAGGGCTTACGACTACTAATGTTCAACTCCTGGACACCCAGAGGTATTGATTTGTTAGGGAAACATGGAGGACTTTGAGACTTGACAGATTTAACAGGCATCAATCCCCATTTACTACACGGGGAGTCTTCGGCCGGCGAGGATCGAACCCACAACCTCTTGGACATGGGACTAGCGCCCTACCGACCAGGCTATCCCGGCCCCTCGATAGTGTTTGCGACTAATCGTATTCGATGTTTATCAATATCAAGTACAATCGCCATATTACCATGTCCTATAATTATCATTATCGTTTTAGATCGCGAAATAATCGTGTTCGGGATATACGGTCATCGATAATGAGCGAGATATTATCGTACATTTGTATTTAATCGTAAGAAATTGTATTCACGATATATTTCTAGGATACTTTTTTCAAATGTCGTTACCATGACGTCAAAATAGATTCTATATTTTACAGTAGATTAAAATATTCTTTAGTTCAGAAAAATTCCATTGAGATTTAAAAATTGGCGATTCATCGCGAGCAAATATGATAGCAAACAGAGGCTAGCCTGTATGATTGTTAGGAAATATTGAAAAAAGCTATCGCAAGATTTAAATAAAAGTTATACATTTTCGCTAATACTTAGAAGTACAATTGTCTGAACTGAACTGTATAAAACAGCTGGGTACCTGAGGCCGTTTGCGGCCCTTTTCCCATTCCTCTTTAGCTTGAACTTTGTGTTGTTTCGATGAGGTAGGTGGTGGTATACAAATGAAGTAAAGGGTTATTCATGTGGATAGATGATCATTGAGTTCTGACTGTGTAGTTATATGCAGCTGGGTGATAAAAGCATAATGTAAAAAAAAAATAGTGCGTTGAGTCCCTCCGCGCGGAAGAAGTTAAACTTCGCAACCTGCGACGTTAATTGTAGAAGAATCAGCAGTCGTAGAAGGATCACTAGTTCTATTCAACGACTCTTTTTCCTGCTCCGCTCGCTTCCGTGCTCTGTAATCACGGTAATATTGTGCATTTTTCCCTCGTGGACCTCTTGAACCAGTGGAAGTGCTTGTGGTTGCCTCATCGTCTCGCCCTGGAAAATGTATTTGTATTAATAATGTATGTGAATGCGTCATAATGTAATTTCAGAAGAGAAAACCTAACAATCAATTGATATTCACAAGAGACGTACCTTGACATAACCTTAAATCCGTCGCATTGTCCGTGGGATTGTTTTCACTCATTTTTTACAATTGTTATCCACTAAATTTGAAAATAAAAAATACTACCCTATTAAATTATATGTGTATCAAAACAAACTAAAAAAATATTTATAGAAAAACAATACTTTTATGACTTTTATTATTTTTATGCTAGTGAGAACCAAAACAACATGAAAATAATGAGGAAAAACTGGATCCTACCACGTGATTTCCCGGCCAATAAAAATGTAGCGTTAAACGTTTAACGCAACCTTGTTGAAAGTCGCATAAGAAGTATCACCTCAAAAATATGAGAGATAACTTAAGCTGAGCTTGTATGGTGAAAATGAGGTTATGTGTATGCTATTGATTACGGGAATATGATGAGCACAACTGTCTATCTATAGCATTTTTTTATACATATGTTTGAACTATTTAATCATAGCAGGGGTCTGTTAAGAAGAAATTTGGGTCCGTTAACGGACCCTTCACAAAATATCTTTTCATAAAATCGGAACCTTCACAAAATATCTTTTCATAAAAACGGACCCTTCACAAAATATTTTATCTTTTAATCGGACCCTTCACAAATTTGTTTATCTTCATTATTGTTTTGTTAATCGAATAAATTCGTCCCAGGAAGGGGTGGGTGAAAGAAAGACAGATGTAAACGAACTAAATTTTGTTTTCGGCAGACGCTTCTTCCTTTATTCGTCCGAAATGAATATTCTGCCTTCAGTAGTGTAGGCTAAATACCAAATATTTGTATGTTGCATCGCTAATTTAGTAGCTAAATTTACTGTCCATGTTTTAAAATTTAATTTTTTAAATTATAATTTTACAGTGTTGAGCATGATCTTGTATGTCTTTACAATTTAAAAACTCATTGAAAAAGTTTTTTTTTTTTTTTGCAATAACGGACCCTATTTGCACAAATTCACAGAAATGGACCCTGGTTGAAAGAATGTGACTTAACTTTTATTTTATATGCACAAATTACGAGTAATTTTTTCACAATTTTACAAAAACGGACCTTTCACAAAATGTCTGGACAGACCCCTGCATAGTGATAAACAGAGCAGTTCTTTTGGACAATATAGGCCTATACATTAAAACATAACAGCGGCTTTTATTGTCTTCCACCACAGTACGAGTTAGCACTTATAAAACTTTATCTGATTTTTTTTAAAAAAAAATATTAATATGTTTGTGATTTTTTGATAATTTTAGGCTCAGTCAAAACTGAGAAGGCTCTTGAACGAGGCAGAGCGCCAAAGAAGACGAAGAGAGAGACTGAGGGGTGGTGGGCTGATCAAAAACAATTCTCGTCATCAGTCCACAGATGACGGTGTCATGTCTGCTCTCAAGTCCTGCAACAGATTTCAAGATTTTGTCAAAGAACTCAACTGTCTGGGATATAACCTCACTCCCAGTAATGAAAATGGAGAAATAGATCTAGGTATGGCTTGTGAAATATCCGTTGCTGTCGAAACGTAATTGTTTGTTAAACACTAAGCTGGAGTAATGTATTATAAACTGACTACTACATTCAACTAAAGGGCTTGGAGTAATATAATAATAAGCCACATTTTCAAATAGTTCAGGAAGAATACGAGTTTTGCTCCTGGCTCGCACGGGCCACGGTGGTGACGTAAAATATCCTCAATGGTTGACAGATCCTGAGTTAGAATCTCTTTGCCATCGGAATAAACGGGGGAGGTTTTTGTGGTTTTCCTCCCGATACAACGCAAATCTTGGTTATTTCTATCTTAAAGCTCTCCATGAAGGCTAGTTTGTCTTAATGCCTGATCCAGGAATACCCTTTGTCTTCTGGGTCGGGTTCAAAATTATAAGACCTCGAAGTTGAACATTGATAGCCGTATATATTGAGAATTGAGTATTTGGAAACAATATTAGGAACACTTTAGTGTAAAAATGTCGCCTTTGTAAAACGACATCCTATTTCAGTGATGTGATTCTTTCGCGGATTTCCGCTTTTTTTCAGATTTTTCCGTTTTTCTCGCTAATTTCAGCGGAAAATATTTTTTGTACAAATTAAAATATTTTATGAGGAATTTAATTTTCCGCAGAGCGAAAGTATTGAAGTCCTCATTCCACCCTCTGAAGTTTCTCTCTAACAGGGTTGCCACTCCACAGGGAGAACAGGGAAAACCTGGAAAATACAGGGAATTTAAAAATCACCTAAAATAACAGGGAAAATGCAGAGAATTATGATTTTTTCTTTACAAACTGGGAAAATACAGGGAATTTTGTTTCTTATTTTTGTCTTCTAAAAAATGGTGACCACTTAAAGTGTAATCTATGGGATATTCAACCATGATATTTCAGCTATACTAAACTATTTCATTTACTATAGCATTATTTAAGTATATTCAGCTGTTTTTCCAGCAATTAAAACTAATAAATATAGTTAGCCCAATATAGCTCACACAAGAGCACAGTAATTGTTGTTTCCTCTTAATATATAGT